AATAACTGAAGGATTAAATGATCATGTATAAACAATTTGTTCATGTAAAATTTTCTGTTTTAATTAATAGGTATAGGTACTTTAATATATTTTTACTTAAATACTTATATAAGAACATATTAAAATTTCAAGTTAATTCACTAAAACAAAAATAGGTAACTACCTACCTAAGATTAGATCGACAGATCAAATACGTACTAAATAGGTACACCTACACATCTAAACATCAATATTACATTTACAATGTGTTAGTTTTTTAAATTAAATATATTTATCTGTAGAAAAATTTAACTTATTATTTTCATAATATAATAAATACTATACTAAAATAGGCAATTATAATAAAATCTATAGAAATTAGATATAAGATAGAACATAACTTATTTTGAATCAGTACATAAAGATTAAAATAAAATAAAAATAAATCACCAATTGGTACATTACAATAAATTCTTTAACTAATAATCAATTATAAGAAAATATTAATAATTAATTAGTATTATTCAACTACAGATACTATATTATAATATTACACATAATAGTATAATACAGTTGTATGTCGAAGAAATGATTTGGTTTTTGTACGATTCAGCAATAAAAATTATTTTCATTATCAGCTATTTAAAAAATAGATATTTATAATAGGTACCTACTATTTTATACTTTTATAACCATTAAAATAATATTACTTTATTTTATAACTCAAAATTGAGATAAAATTAGATTTAATTAATACTTAATACAAATAAAAAGGATGTAAAAATGCAAAATATAAAAAATATTATTAGTTATCAAAATTAAAATAAATTTACGTTTATAATTTTATATTTTATATAGTAGATTTATTTAAAGTTTCATCTCTTACAAAACTAATTATTCGAACTCAACATAATCAAGTTCTTCAACATATAAACATTTACCAGTACTTTCAGGTTATCTTGATATCTCAAATATTTTCAAAACTATCTTTTATAATTATCTGAATTATCTCGACTACCTCATATAGGAAATTTGATAATTAATAATAAAATTGTGAATCGATAAACAGTCGATTCCGCTTAATGGAGACATTGGTTAATAAGGAAACCGCTTAATAGGGACAATTCTTCAATTATGAGAAAAAATGTATACTTTTAGGGTAAACATTCACTGCTTATCTTGGCCAAAAATCTGGATAATTGGGACATTTTTATTGAGTATTACAACCAATAATACTTATTTAACAAAATAATATAGATAGTTTTTTTAAATAACATAAGACACATAATATTAAAATAAAAAAAAAGTGTATGTACTTTATATGCATGTATTTTCATAAATAATTAGGTTATATCATTTTTTTCTTTTTGTATTATTAAATAATTTCTATAATTAAAAGTTAATTTTAATAATAAGAATATATAAAAAAAAGTCAATTTTTCAACAAATTTATACGTTCGTTTTTGTATTTCAGATTATTGGGACAATCACTTTACACAAAATTGTAATTGGTTTCAAAAATCATAAATATCATTTATGACCGCTGAATAATTCATACATGGCTGGTTTATGAAATGACAAATACTAACTAGTGTAAACAATTAAATTTAAATACCTCTGTAATAGCTTAATTTAAATTAAATGTCAACAATATAACACAAACACATAAGTAAAAACTTATTATTTAAATAATTTGATAGCCAAGATAACCTGGAAGTATCCATTTTTCGCCAATCTACACATATATAAGTTGCATTAAGTCAATTCAACCCTATGATATGTAAATTGAATTAAATCATCAAGTTATACATTAGGAATCAACTAGAAAGAAGCCTAGAGTATTGAATAAAAAAATAATTTAATTTTAATCTTTGAGTGAGTCATGGGGAATAAAAAAGCATTGAGAAATTTGAGACTTCATTGGGTATACAATGCCTAATTTTCTATTTCTAACATCATAATAAGTTGATTTTTTCAAATTATTCAAACAATAACTTACCAGTAAGTACCTTAGAAATATAAATTAAATTTTTGACAATACTATAATTACATTATTTTAAATAAAGCTTTCAAAAATAATTTAGGAGCAACTATTTTATTATTTTAAATAGACTAGAATCTATACATTATAATATTTCAGTAAAATAAAAATATTGGGCATTGAAATTATTATTTATATATTAAAGAAAAAACATTAATTGGATATTAGACCACTACTTAATAAGAAAATCATGTTCAATCCTCACATTTTAGACATTTTATTTTTTCAAGTTTAATCATGTTAATGATTACATTTTGACCATTGCACTCATATTTAAAGGCATTTAAAATAACAGTATAAATTTTTACATATTTTATATACTAAAAATATCTTTAATTGATTTAATTATAAAATAAAATATATCACAGGGTTTTATTAATTCATAAAGAACTAAGCAATGCAATTAATTCTTTCATTTTTTTTTTAGTTATAGACATGGGTTGTAGAATCATAAGTTGAGATTCTTTTAATTATCTAGATACTTTAGGTGATTATCCAGATTGTTTATTTAAAAACAAATACAAGGTGCTATCATAATAGACATCAAACTTATTTTGATGTTGACAAAAACAGTTAAAGAGGCAGGAAATTCATTTGCGACTAATGATGTTACAAAAAGCAAAACAACCACTGACAAGTTAAACAAATAGTACTTAGAAATTGTTAAATATATAATATTATTCTACTACTTATTTAAGTTGAAATATAAATACTTATAATAAAGAGTTTAATAATAGACTTTTAATAAATTGAGATAAATATAATACATAATCATAGATAATTCAACATTTGTAAAGCAATGGTCTTTCTTAGTTCATGCCAGTTGTGAGATATAGAATCTAACTTTACTTACCAACTAAGACAATCATAATATGATCATGCATTTGTTATCGCAAATGGAGATGATTATTAATGATAATTTATAATAATTTATACCCTAAAAATCCATAAATGCGATGAAATCGTTAGAGATTAAAAAAAAAAATTATATCGAAAATTACGCGACAACTAGGTAGTGTTAGGTCGACTTCGTTTAGGACTAACATCCATTAGGCGCGTGTCGATCACATTCGTTTAAAAACACAAGACAACGAAAACTAACTGAAATAACAAAATCGTTTTGATCTCTGGGCGCGATTAACATTTCCAAATTCGATCAGTGATCATCAAAACTCAAAAAATAATGTTCAACCCCTCCCCTCTACACTAAGGAACGTGGCCCCGACACTGTACGACCATCACAATAATAATAATAATAATAATAATAATAATAATAATAATAACACAGCTATGGCAGGCGGGCGGTCGGGGGCCTCCTAGACGAGTGGCCAAGGTGGTTCCGTCGGCCACTCGGCCACAGGAAAGAAAAATAGTCTTTTACATGGGCGGACTACGTTGTCGTCTAACAGACCCGACCACCATTTTGTGCTGGTCAAGGGAGCGACAGCGGTGGTGCAACGGCCAACCCGAAACGCCCGGCCGCCACCGCCGCCGTCAACAAAAACCCTACACAAAGCTCGGTGTCAACCGATCTGTTACGTACATGTTATTCCTGGCGGCCGGAGTGTAATCCAATGGACGTTGATACTGTACATCGGACACTTTTCGCGCACACACACACTCACACAAAGTCGCAATAATAATATTAATATCGCGGTCTATGCGCACACACACACGCACACACACACACACGACAGAGAAACGCCGCCGATGCTTTCGCGGCGAAGACGTTTGTATTTCGGCGGACGGACGATTAACAAACGGTACGTACGCGACAGTGAACACCAACACTGCGATTATTCGTGCGGGGTGACGACGAAGACGGCAACAAACGGCTTTCGCGAGTCCGGGGGTATATTATCGTGTTAAATCGCGAAACGCTACGGGACTACGGAACAATAACAAGATCGGCCATTTGCAATGCACATCACTGCCCGTCGCAGTGCGGCCAACGTGTCAACGCACTAAATGTCCCGGCGGTAGCGATGTTCTATGCCGCCGCGATTGATGATCTCGTCGGTCGACTCGAGTTGAGAGTGTCAAAATCACGGACAAACGGATCCTATTGTAGGGGTGGTGCTAGGTTTGCACTTCATCTAATTTCGGTCTTTTCAGAAAACCCAACAGGAAGGATAAGCGGTAGCCCCCGACCAGTTGGTCGCACTGCACGCACTACAGAGTCGATGCAAATCACGCAAATTCGAATAATAAAATAATATGCCGTTTACATTGCTTTCAATCACCCCGCCACAAGCACAGAACAATGCAATAATCGAATAAATTAATACTGCTGAACAAATCGTTGACGACACAGCAAAAAAGACCATTTAGGTAGCGGACCTTACCGTTGCAGAAATCCCGCGTAATAACGACTTTTAACCCTAAGACTGTCTTGTTACCACCAGATCCAATGAGTTGGCGCACCTGACGTTATCGCAAATATACCTTGAGGAAAATCATGTAGAATCTCAATTATATTAATTGGTCTTAGATAACGATGGCCGATGACTCTTAACATCAAAATTAACGATAAATTAATGCTAACCGTATGGATCAAATTGTCCAGAATCTTATAATTTACGTACTCGACAAAATCCCAAATTACATTTTCGCCATAACATACAATGAGAAAAAACGTCCCGTATAACAATATTGTAGTTGATTAATAATTAATAATTATTATCCTATTGGCTATCACTCATCTTTTAATACTCATTCATTCAATATGTAACTCTACTAATATTTATAAGACAAAAGTCGCAATTTGGAGGATTTTGTCTTCTGGATAAGAGAAAACTCATACAATATTATCAAATATTGTTATATCAGTTGTTTTCTCAAAACAAAAAAATATTGAAATAGGTAGATTTATAATATTGAGTATTAAGTAGTATGCTTTCAGTAACTAAAAATATTACTACAAATTAACTATAACACTGTTTTTAGACATACACACATAAATAGTAGAATACAATCAGTATTACATAATAATTAATTATATTTTATCAATACAAAAATGTATTCATTGATTTTTCTGATCAAATAAATTTACATAGAACAACTAGTTAATTACATTATGACATAGGTTATTTTAATCATCAACAGGGCAAGATGAAAAAAGTCCTAATTTCCTCATTCTTTCAAAATCCTTTTCGGCATCATAGTGTCTATAAAATAAAAGATTAAATGTGTTAAAATACTATTCACACTGAAGATAGGATTATAAATTACTTGTAAAATTCTGCATAAGCCTTCTTGCGGGGTTCACCAATACCATATTTGTATGCCAAACCAACTCCAATAGATAAAACAATACTAAACACAAGGTGGAACTTGGTTTTCTTATCATAAAGTCCACGTAATTGTGGTTTTGCTAATTTTTGTACTACAGCTCCAGCAGACATGGTTCTAAAATAAATTTCATGTAAAATTAATATTAATATAACAATTAAAAATATAAATGCTATAAGATTATTACATCAAACAATATTATCTTTTATTTGCGAGGTAAATTATAATGACCCCATCTCATGACTATCTGTATGTTTTATTCAAAAATGACAAAATGTATGATTATTTTAAGATGTACTATGTTATAAGACAATTTTCAATAATAAAAACAGATATAGTATATTCTAATTCTAACGCCAAGTAGAAATTATATAATTAAATTTTAGGGTTTTTTTTTCTAATGAAAAATATTACTTGATAAAATTATATTAAAAAATTAGAGAAAAATGTAAACCAAACTTTGATATCAAGTATATTAATTTATATTATTGTATTTATAATAATAATAATAACTCTACAAAATGATCATTCCAGATGATTTATTTAAAGTTAAAGATCATACTTTAAACAACTTTCCATAATATGATTAATGAAATACAAATTATGTTTAAAAAAAAGTTAAAATACAATATTTTTTATGAGACAAATAATTCCTAATTTTGTATAAACCAATAAATTTGAGTACCAACAATCGTAATTAAATTGAACTTTTACATAATTGTCAAAGATTGACCTTCACATTATCAATTGAAATTTACAAGCATTGCTTAAAGTAACAAACTTTGATGTCTATAAAAATTACTTAAATAATATTTACCAGTTTGCAAATGAATAGTTATCCCAAATAAATATACAACTTCCGTGAAGGGTAATGTTCCACAAAACACAAGCACAAAACAAATTAAAACTCCGATTGTAAAAATTTAGGTATTCAGTGTTTCAGTGTTTCCCGTTTGGTAAAAAATTACCTCGATGTATTAAACATCTGTTTAATCTGTTATCTGCAGCCCTGACAAAATATCATGGAAGAATAAGATTTTGGTTATTTTATTTATCTTTGATAACGTAATTGTATTCTGTTCTCCAATATTTTAAAACCATAGTATCTACTATACGTCTATACCACAATATTATAAATATCTTTTTAAATTGGGTAATTGAAACATTTGAAACACTAGAATATAAGGTTTAATATTTATTCATTTCATCTTTTGAATAACATAATAATACTCAAAATGTAAGCGTCTTGTATTTTTTTGTATCAATTGGCAATAGCAAATTATTAAATTGTGCAAGACCCAAAGTTCATTATAAAAAAAACAAATTTTGTATTACAAATTTCAAATTTATTTGTTTCATCTAAAACCATTAAAACCATAATATATAAACATTATGTTCAGTGCTGTGGTGACTCGATCATCGCAACCTACATACACATGGTTAGCGCTGTCACAGGCCACAGTAACCATACTCTACCTTTCAATATGAATTGTCCGTTAAAAGTTAATGTTTTTATATTTGTATAAAAACCAAGTATGTCTCGTAATAATATTTAATACGCCATCTAAACGAAATTTATCTTTGTCATCGCCAAAAGCCAATAAGAAAAAATTCAAAATCTTCATCTCTTCAAACAGATATGCTGCTTCCAGGAAATCAAACTCTAAAACTGCAAATATATGCAATATGAACACTGAGTTATTTTTCCACATATTTGTACCGCGTTATACGCGTCCAATTGTAGCAATCATTCGCTATCTTCATTATTCCACTCCCTTAGAAAATAAAGAAACGTCCCTTGCGGAACTGGGTTTATTCATTCTTAGTGTTTTAGTAATATTATTTATAGGACTAACAACTAACCAATGTCACTTTTTATTATTGAACTTCCTAACATCGAATTTAATAGGAGTATATTTAAGTTGACAAAACTACTGCAATTTAAAGTAATCATCGAAATATCTAGACTAAGAAAAGCTCGATCTTACTCACAATGCAAAAATATTATATAGTCTGAAAGTAAAAAGTAAATTTTGAAGACGACATTACTTGAAAAAAATTGTATACAAGTCGGTTCATTTATATACACATTAATATCAAGAAAGATATAGAAGTTGATCAATAAAAATGATGATACTGGAAAAAATAAAATAACAAATTCTTCATTCGCTTTGTTACTAGGCAACCTATGGTATAGACGTATGGTACGAAAGATGCGCAGTCACGTCATATAATATGATGGAATTTAACATTACAATATTAAGTATTATGTAAATTTGTAAATAATTATTTAACCACAAGTAAAAATCAAATAAAAAAGTTTTATTCACCTCGTTATATGGTTATAAGTATTTTTGATTGTCATAGTAAAATACTTGCAATAAAGACACTGCCAAACTGCTAAACAACCATTATCTAATCTATACGACGTTTGATAATGGCAATTTGAAAGATATGTTAATAAAAACGAAAATGCAGTATTATTTCAAAAAAAGTCTTTCAACAGTTTCAACATCTTTATTATTGATAAACATAATCATTAGTTACTATTCTAAACAAAAAATATATAAATTTGATCATTTTAGTCCTCTCTGTCGACCAGCATAGGTTGTAAATTTGCTGTAATATTAACTGCATCCTATAAATTCACTGTAGTAAAAAATAACTAATAAGAACTCGATGTATAGATTTGCTATCTATGTAACTAGTGTGTAAAATAGAAACAAGTCTCTTAAGCATTTAAATCCAAATTTCAAGTTAGTACTTAGTCTATATGTATTGATTTTTCAAAAACTTTTGATACGATCAGTCACGGTTTCTTGTTATAGCAATGTTTTAGCTATTGGCTATATTGCAGTCAACCACTTGTATCCTGGAATCTGGATAAAATTTTACTTAAGACCATACAGTTAAGTTAGTCTCTTTGGTACTTTATTCTTTCACTACATATAGATAGGTATATTATCTCACAATTATTCATCACCTTTCTAAATATCTACCGTTTATTCTATTGATTGTTATTACTCATTTTTTCTTGTCAGTTGTTGGATTCTTGTGTTTTCTGACAATACAAAATATGTATCCTTGTACTATTTCAAAAATCATAGATAGTCTTGTTCTTTAAGAAGTTTCAGATAATTTCAATATTAAATGAAGTTTTTCACTTTTCGAGTTATCTCCTGTCATAATGAAAAGTAAAAAAAAAAAAATGTTTCACTGTATACGTAAGGTGTTGGCGTAGGATTATTATCTAAACGAATTACCTACCAATTGTCACTGGACCATGTGTTTTAAGTAAAATATTTAGGGTTCTTATATTATTTGTTTTTTTTTCATATTCAAGTATAAATTTAATTGTAAATAAATCGTTATGGAGTGTTTTATTCTGTTACTCCGGGAAGTTTTATGCGACAATTGGAAAATGTCTATGTAATTTATTGTTTTGTTTAATAGTTCCTTATTGGAATTATCAGCTTTGCTAAATTTATCTTAAGAATCTCATAGCTTTTCTATGACTATAGACTTGTAATACATGGGTTTTATAGTTTTAAACATTTTAGCTGGAAGACGAAAGTATTTAGAATTTTGATACACACTTACACGCCCCCGTATTAAGTCTGTTAAATAATAAGCGATCTTTAACACCAAATCAAGTTATATTTTGTATTTGTTAAAGAGTCTAATTAACTTTATAATAAATGCATCTTTAAACAATATTTTTAAAACTGCTAGACGTTTAAAATTTAAAGAGAAAATTTAAACTCGTGTGTAAGTACCTATAGTTGAAATACACTGATTCCTCATAATCCGCGGCGAAAGTTACATTCTAGGAAAGTTACACAAATTACTGTATAAAACTAAAAACAAAGTATAAGTAGTTATATACATTATACAGCTATATAAGAAGGTAGATACATTGTATTTTTGAATTTAATTGGAAAAATAAAGTCACAATACATTAACATTATACATGATACTGTCTTAATTATAAATAAATATTGTTTAAAAACTAGTAATTACTGGTTATAAAATACAGAAACGTACAATTATTGCTTATATTCTCAAATGTAACTAATAATTTATAAAATACGTAATTGTAAATTTATTATAATAATGTTTTATGTAAACCACATGTATTCCGTACAATAACTATAGTTGTATATATTAGTACTAACCCCGATATTGTATGCAGTGATACAGAACTGATAAAAATATTTCAAAATCAATAGAATATAATAATATTAATTCAGGAAACGATTAAAACTACACGATGTCCTGAACATTATCATAGATGTACACCTCTTAAATCAGTGTATCGTATATGTTTAGTGTCACTGCGGCATAATCTGTAATAGGTACCTATTTATACATGGTAATATATTTTTATTTTATTTTATTTATCTATATAATTTATGAAATATTATATATGCATAATATAATATTATCGAGACTATTTAGATATTCTTGACTACGGTGCTGCAATCGGTATACGTTTAATGAATTATGGTGTTGCGAATAATGTTTCTGACTAAACTAAGTCTATCATGAGGCGTAGCGGTTACCAGGTAATAAACGTTTTTGATATGATCGAAAGCGTTAGTAATGAAACTGGTTACCGTCGAATGGTCCAGACTGCTGTTGTTCGTACTGCGGTTCAGCGTTGTTGGTAGCGGCCACGGTGGTGGCGGTGGCAGCGGCAGGAGTTGCTGCGGCGTCCCGCTGCTGGGGAAACGGGGCGTCACGTTGTTGGAAATATGGAGGAGCGGCTGCGATGTCCCGTTGTTGGATAAACGGCGATGGTCTGTTGTACGCGTGGGCTCTGTAATACGGAGGTAAACCTCCGGCAGCACCGGGCTGTCTGAAAAACTGAGGCTGATCCAGCGGCTGTGGCGGGTACAACGGTGAACGATATGCGTCCACCACGGTCGGCTGTTGTTCGTAAAGCGGCTGCGGTGTGGCCGGATAGTATGGGGGAGACGATCCTACGTATGGTGGACCGGCGGGGTAGTAGGGCGCGTAGTTGTACGGTGGTAATGGTGCTCCGTCCACGGCGTATTGCGGTTCGTAAGGGTACTGAAGCGGCCGATACGGGTTACCGCTTGGCACCAATACAGGGCCGGTTGGCTGCAGATAAGGGCCAACTGGTTGGTAAGGGCCCAGCGGTTGATAAGGGTACGGGTACGGGTAAGGATATCCTGGTCCGGCCGTGCCGCCAATGGGCACGTAGTCTTGCGAGTCCGAATAGTTGTCCGGTTTGTCCTTTCGCGTGCCCGTCGGCGAGCCTGCAGTGGTACAAGGTTCTTAAAATAATCGAAAAAACGAGGTTTAAATAATTTTTGAATGGTTTGCTTTTTACATAAAATGAATGATGATAACTGTGATTTGTTTGTTTGGTTTGTGTATTTGTAAAACTGCTGACTTATTTTTTATCATATTTAATAAAGGTAATATTAATAACAAATTACTTATCAAATTAACCGAGAAAATCGGTTTGGGTACGATTCTAGAGTACCTACAATTGTTTTGCATACCTATAAGCTACAATTATATTTATATTGAAAAAATTGTTGACTAATTATGATTAGCTATTATATTTTGATAGCTCAGTATCTATATACTACTTAAGAATCTATGTGTTTTGAAGTAAAGAACAATTTACAAATAATTATAATTATCGTATACTTTGGTTATTGTGTCAATTAGTTGCACATAATGCATGTCGCAAGTAAAATATACCTACGCTAGAAAAGAAAATTAATAATATAAAATAATATGGTGTTAAGGTAAAGGGAGCAACAAGTCTACTTCAACAACAGCATGCATAAAGAATGATTGCAGCCAATTAAAACGATAACTGATATTGTATTTGACACTTTTTTTTCGGCACAAGATAAATTTTTTAATTTTTTTATTAAAATTTGTAGGTAGCATACTTAAAAAATTAATGATATAGGTAGCACCTAATGTGTATCAATAATAATTATTTAGGTATGATATTCAATGTTAAGACAGACGCAATACTTTATATTAGTATTTAGTATTATTCTTTAATATTTAATAAGAAAAAAAAATTGTTTATACTTATAGTATAGTAGTAAATGAATAGTGTTGTCGTACTGAATTAGATCAAATTATTATTAGACACAATTATTTTAAATTTAATTTGGAATTAGCTATCACAATTAAACTTAACAAATTAGTAATAAAAAAAAAATATTTATATCATGTATACAACATTAAAATGCAATTAATCCGATAAATTAAAATAACCTATATGAGTATTTACAATTAATTGAAAATATTTAAGTTTTAAGTATCAACAATTTTTAATTACTATAATTTAAAAGCCAATTAAATAAATAAAAGGTATACCGCATATTAAAATATGAAATAAATATAATTTATAAATACTAGATTTTAGCTGATAAAAATGGTAGATTTTTATTATTTTTTAAATAGTAATGTATATTATAAACATTATAATACGATAAGTTGGTCATAAATTCTTATATATAATAATTAATAGCTATTAATTAATTTATCATTATTCTGTATTTGCTCCATTATTAAATATATATATATATATATATTCATTTTTTATTTTAAAGACTTACTTTCCGTAGAAGTGTGTTTGTTGTATTTTCTTACATTGGGCTGTATTTGCAATGTCTGACCAGTTTGGGTACTGGATACTCCTTGTTGAGCTCCGCTGCAAAGGATTCCGGATATAATCACCAGCAGAATTGAAAATATCTAAACGTAATGAGAGTATACGTTTTATATTATTAATTGTATTATTTAAGCACATTAAATTAGGTAGTAACTAGGTACTTATGTTAACAATTTAATAATTATAATTTAAATAGTACAATATATGTATAGAGTTACAGATACAATATATATACTTTAATATTACCGTAAGTTATATTAGGTATAATAAATTAAAAGAGTAGAATACGCAAGTATTGTTTCATACAATTTACACTCGAACATATAAGATACATGGAATATATAAATGGTCTTGCTTACTTGGATCATCATTGTATGTAAGGTCTGTACTGATGTGTAGTGTATATTTTCAAACCTTATTGAACACTGACCGTAAATGCAAATTGTGTGGTGACTTATATATAGTGGTTCACGAAGACCCAATATATCCTTCAAAGTATTTACAACGGTTTTTTATCATTATTTATCATAAGACAATGAATTAGGCGAACCAATCAACCTCCAACAATGGTGTGAACCAGTCATCATCAACACATTCGAGACGGTTGTTGAACTTGAGTAGGAGGACGCGTATAAGGGTTTGAGATGTACCTATATAATATAATTAATGATTAATGACACTTTTGTGCATTTTGTTCATTTAGATTTAAAATCTTATTCAAGAATCAGCCGGCGATACAAAAGAATTGTCCGTGATGACTGATGACTAATCAATAATTGGCGTGTATATTGAATTAACATTTTAATCGCATTTTTTGTTTGCGTGTATGCAAATTAAAAACCCAAGATAGAAATAAGCAATAACTTTATAGTAATGACTATAGGAAATATTATTTAATTAATATTAAATTATATATTTAAATTTTATTTTTTAATTAATTCATTTATTTAATAAAAACTATGTTCAAATGTACCTATATAGAATACATGTCTTATGTTAGATAACAATTTTAAATAATAAATACAGTAATAGAATATTATAGCCAAATAAGACTTCTAAATAAGTTTTGGTTTGAATTAAAATATATTTAAACTAATAATAAATATTGTTTTTGTGTACAATTTTTGTAGCATTCATATATCATTTAATTATTTTCTCGTATTATATATATATATATATATATATATATATTTATTTATATGTACATTACTTCATTTTAAATAATATATACAAATATAATGTGTAAATGTAAGATTTGCAATAAACATATATAGATGTGCAGACGTGCAGTTATAATGCATTATTGTTATCACACCTACTTTATATGTTTTGATATAATAAACGAGTATATACAGAACATGAAAAAACCCCACAACCCGCCACGCAACGGCGACACTTATTTTTATTTATTATATATACTGATATACTTGTCAGAAAAGAAAGTTGTGCTACGACTTTGAATAGTAAAATTTCATAGATAAAATTATCCCTAATGAGTGACTTTTTTTCTTTAGACCACATGCAAAAATTTAACAACTAACAAAAAGCTATGCTTATTATTAAAAAATAACAATGTATGGACCGCATATTTCAATTTAAAAAATATATCTTGTACTGATATAGATAAAAATAATGAACGTGCTATTATTATTAATGCTAACTTAAATAAGTTATAATAAACAAGGTTATATTAATACAGTAATATTCAATTTTTTTTACCTAGTACATTAATAACTACCTATTTAGTACCTAGTACCTACTATCAGTTGAACGAAAGTAGTATTATACACTAATAGACACCTTATAGACACTTATTGACTGTCATCTACCCAATATACGTATGGCTACTTGAACTAAATTTTGAACAATTTAAAAAAGTTGTAATACTTACTTTTTGATATTTATTTAAAGGTTAATTTATCTAAAATGCGAAGAAACATATCAAAACAAAATGTTTGATGATTTAAACATTTTAAAACCTAAATAATTTTACTGTTAACAAAACACGATTTTTTATATCTATTAACTTTGAACATTTTAAACAGGATATAATATCAAATATTTCATACTATATGACAAAACTTATAGATATTTAATAATACATTGATAAATTATAAAAGCTTCCAAATGTTATTCAGTAATATAAATCGTAATAACAAAAACAATTACATTGGTACCCAAGCATTATCATTGAGATATAAAATAACAAAATATTTAAAGAAACACATATTTAATAATCTAATGTTTTTTTAGTATATTGTGAACTATAAGTATAGTATTGTATTAAATATCTAGCTAGAGTTGTCTACCTATAATATATTTCATTAATGTATAAAATATAAATCATAGATAAGTAATTATGTACAAAGCATTCAAATATAACAATTGAAAACGATTTTTATATGTATAAAAATTAAAAACTATCTTTTTTACAAGATATAGTTACTCAATCAAGTAATATCTCTAAATGTTTTACACCATCAAGAAAAATACAAAAAGGCAAAAAAAAACCAAAAATGATCAATTTAGAATTTTTAATATCTATATGATAAGTTATAAGTTATAATTATTATCAAATATTACTATCTTTATGACCAACTTCTAATTTATGTACATTAGTCTCAGACTTTTGTACTTATAAACGATTTTGCGCTTATTGACTATTACTGTATGCTTGATTAAGGGTACTGACCGACTTGAACTTGACAGTTGACATTGATGTGCACAGATTATGACTAAAGGTGGGGTCATCTGAGTATCTGCGGAGTTGTCTTATTTTCAGTTATTCATTTGCTGCTAATCGTTCATCTTTCTGCCCATTGTAATATGGGCAATAGGTCGTGTTTGATGTAACAATGGGTTATTGGATATTCTAATCTCGAGAATAGATCAATACAACTACGAGTCCACAAAAATATTCGTTCTATTATATTTCTACATACGATGTTGTCGAATCACGCACATTTTTATTTTCAATAACTATATTATTGAATAATTTATTATTTTAACATATTATTGATTATAATACATACATTTATTTTTTGCTAAACATTTTTAAAAGAGTGATGGACATATTTTCTGTTAATTGCTCATTAGCCGTTTAGCAATTATGTTTATAAATTTAATAGGTGAATGATGAATAATTAAAATGGATTGTATTATATTAAAAAAAAAAATTTACTTATCTGTATTCTTTATTTTACATTTAATATTATTTTATAGATACAGACAATATTGGAGTATAAACCTAATAAAGATTAACATAAATCACAGCTTATCTATAAACAATTAAAATATAAATTTGAATATGATCATATATTATGATTTTAAATGGAGATAAGTAAAATTTAATTCAAAGCTGTATTAGCCATTACTCATTAGTTATTTAATTTTTGGCCAAACGATTTGTTCAATCCATGAAATGTACTTCGATAACCGAGTATAAACAGCAGGCGAATCCTTTTCTCCGCAAGATGGCCCCGCAAATGATGTTATTCCTATTTGTGAATACATGCATATGTACTTATTGTGTTTTATTTGAATCGGACCACCGGAATCTCCCTATAACATTGTAAAATAAATTGTAATTAAAAAAATGTTTAAAAGGCAGAAATGTAATTAATTGTGTAGAAATATAAAATAATTACTCCACAAGTATCATTGCCGCCTTCTGGATTGCCAGCGCATATCATAAGATCATCAACTATTCCTTGTGATAATTTTTTATTTCTATTTGCCAGATATAAGAAACTTTTATCGCACTCTGCTGCCGGAATAGTGTCTATGCGTACTTTTAATAATTGCGAGCTAGAAAGTGCAGCTAAATATTTGTATTTTCATTATATTTATAAATTGTAATTTGTAAATGTATTTAGGTATATCATATAAAATATTGAATATAAAAATTAACTTACCTGTTTCTGTTCTTCCCCATCCTGTAGCTATTATTGCTGGGGGTGTTAAATAATGATCTGTATTGAGACAAATAGGTCGTACAAATGGCGAGAAATCTACATCTCTTTCTAAACGAAATAATGCTATATCATTATACAAAGAAGGTGGTTTATAATTTGGATGTACTATGCGTTCTACTATCCTATAATCTTTAGGTCTCGCCTCGTCAGTTTCCGATAGATAATCTAGATCACCTAAGCGGGCCCATTGTGCATATCTCCTAAAAATATAGATTTTTTTATAACAGTTTATAGATTAAATATAATGTATGTTAATGTAAGTAAACATACATTGTAAGTTTATTGCCGAATTTTTCACAGTGGGCTGCTGATAATACAAAATTCTTACTTATCAACGACCCTCCACAATTCCATGAATAAATGTCCGGTTTTTCGCTATAACCCAACAGAGCCTGTAATTATGTATAAATATAATAAAAATAAATATTAAATAGATGTTTCATATTATCACCATGTGAGGAAATTCTTTTGGTTTAGCTTCTGTACCGTTGGTAATCAAGGTAATGGCATCATAGCAATCTTTAACTTTGAGATAATTATTCTGATCTGATATTAATACTGGGTCCTTGATCTTATAATAAACTAATTCTGAATACTCAGCGCACACTATGCGTGAATTAAAAATATATAAGAATAATTATTAGATAAATTATTACAAAAGAATATTTTGAGTAAATTACTTATCACAGTAGTATACAGTAATATACATACTTTCAGTAGCTGAATATGTTTTCACTATTGGTTTTTTTGTTGTAAAAGTAGATGGATTAGTGGTGAGGGTTTTATTTTCTGGCGGACAACAAACTATTGGAATTGATCCACTGAATGAGCATAGTTGCGGTGTAATATTTTTCTTAAGTCCTTCCTTTGCAACTGGACAGTTTTCAATTTTCCGACAAATGGAGTTGGGAGATCTGCCATCACCTTTGCGGCAAATATCACCTACACAAGAATAATATATAAATACCTATATATGTTAATAGTAATTTTATTGATATAATTAACACTTTAATATAAAATGAAAAAAATACAAAATTCGATCGATATTTTAATTATCTTGTGTGGTAAATATTATTTTATACTTAAATAGTATAAAAATCTGTTTATTAAGTAAGAATTATGTCATATTAAAATCTTAATTATTATGTTGGTTGAGATATTTTGAAGTCTGTTGTCTTTTAAGTTTAAATACATTATTTTCAAACGTTTAGGTGATCAGAAAATACCACAAGAATTGTTCGGACTAATAAAAATTTATCGAAATAATCAAAATATTTATTGTTTTCATACTTTTAAATGAAAACTAAATCAATAATTATACATAAATTTGAATAATTTAGACTTTTTTGAGATAAAAAAAAACTTTTTTTTTAAATATTTTGAATGCAGTTTACATAACAGTTAATTATTTAATATTGTCATTTGTCGTCACATTTCTTTAAAAATATTGTTTAAAGCGTTAAAAAAATGTACAATAAATAAAAATAAAATATAAAAAAGGGTAATCACTACGCTGTACAGTAGATATCGAGTATACCTCGTCATTGAGTAAGTAACTACTGTAATGTATTTTAAATTATTGCGAATGAAAAATTATACTAGATAAAGACAGTTTGTTAATCTATATTTCAAACTATATTACTTTATTTTATTTCAGATTTTTTTTAAATTTTTATTAAAAACTACACATATGTATAAATAGCTCAAATTTAATCAAAATATTTTGAAATGTATACAATACATAATTGTATAAAAAATTCTAATTTAAACTCTTGGTAAAAAATTTAAGTACCTACGTAACGTAACTTGTTTTTTGAATAATAATACAATTTTATTGAGAACTAGTTTTCAGTAAAAATTTCCATAATTCCTGATAATTTTTAATTTTGATCTCTCAAAAATACTGACTATAATTACTTGACTATCATATATTTAAATTAAAAAATTAAAACTCTTTTCCTATTTAATAAATCTTGTTTACATACACAAAAAGCATATAGGTACTCATCGTCTCATCATCACAAAATCAATAAATGCATTTCTCCACTTAGAATCTAAAATAATGTCTATCACATGAAATATAAATATATTACATTAATATGACTAGTATATTAAAGAAAAATATTATTCTCGTATACCTTCCTATGACTTCTCTGTTAGAGTAATCTGCGTTTAATTAACAATTTACGAATATGATATCTTATTATATTTAACTCTTATAATATACTCTAAAGAAAATATAGATTATTATTTATTATAAAACCAATAAGTCTATACTCCGCCCATCATTATCTCTGATAATGTCAATTATTTTGGAAAGTGGACTATAATAAAAATAATAAAATGTAATCGTACCTTCATATAATTCCAGTATTTGTGCATTGTATTCCAAATTCATGAAACATAATATTAACACAATCAAAAAATATTTTAAGCTTGTATAATTCTTCATTATTAATAAAATAGTTTTAATATCTTATTCTAACTAAGAATTTATTGATATTTCTGTTTATACTAATCAACAAGGTAAACAGACCTACAGTTTATTGTAGATTTGTTTAAATTAGTTAATTATACAACACACACACGCACACATACGATGATAATAAACCCCACTTCGTTATACTGGTTCTTGACCATGGAATGCAATGTTATATTTTATACCTAACTCAAAAATATTTATATTGAGTAGTCGAGGTCACATCCTCAAATATTATAACTACAAATTAATAATCAGTGGGTGGAAAAATAATATTTATTTTTTTTTCGGCTGGTCAGTGGTAACAATTGACTATTGTTTATTTTTATATATTTTGAACTTTTCTTAGAAAAAGAGAAACGTGCGATGATATGTGTTTTTTTGGTTTCTCATAAAAACTAGCAAGTAACAATATATTTTAAGTAGTTAGATTTCTTAATTTTTAAGTAAGTATAAAAATGTCCTTTTATTAACTTATTAGGCTACTACTAATAATTATTAATCATATAATCAATGACGTGTCTATTACTTATAAATCTAAAAAAACTGAATTATTTCTTAGAACCATTTATTAATTTAATAGCATTTCTTAGAAGATCTTGCCTAATATCCATAATTTCGTAATAATTAACATTTATTATCAACACGATTTATAATGAAAAATGCACAACAACCATCGTTATAAATTATTACACTTTAACCAGTTTAATTTAATATATCAATTACTAGCAAAATTTAAATTAATAAATATAAACTATAAACATCTAAAGTATTCTAGTAACAACTAACATTATATATTATGTTGTTTTAACATGTCTATTGCTTTCAACAATAAGTTCAAACAGAAAAATAATTGTAACGTAAATAGTTGTGATTTGTATAAAAAATAAATATCAATAAAAGTAAATATACAACTTTAAAATATATATTTTTATAATTTGATTATTAACCATTAGTTAATTTATTTATTTTCACATAATTTGTTCATGAAACTGATTCAAAAGACAAAAATTTAAAGATAGTTAGTTAATGATTTTTAATTAAAATACAATTATTGTATGTATTTTAAAATTGAAGATTTTAAACAGAATAATTAATGCATAGGCTTAAACTTTTCAATGATAAGTGTGTTTTATTTTATGTACATCACCACCTTAAAGAAAAGTAGAAATACTCTTGAAATATTTTTGGGAACAATTACTAGAAATACATCAGATCTAGTCGTTACATGGGGGTGAAATAAATATTCCCAGTCATTTTTTTTATAATATGGAGAAAAACAAATTTTTATTTTTATTGTAATTAAAAAGGAATAATCTTAAAGCTATGAAAAAATTAACAAATGTATTGCATTATGTATTTTTAAAACACAATACAGTATTCAAAGTAGCTTTTTAAATATATTTAAAAATTATCTCGAAAATTGTATTCGTTTAAGTGTTCTTAGTTTAGTTAAATATAATAAATAATTTATTATGTAATATAAAAATATATAATAAAGATAAAGTATTAAAAAAATGAACTTAATCTTCAATTTCTTGAATCCTAAAACTTCTAAAAATATATCTATTTCTATTTTGAAGATGGACTCAAACCCTTAAATAGGACTAAACTAAAAGAGAACACAACAAATGTGTTTGTAATATTATATAGGACATAGGTTATAGGTACAACTATACAAGGTATTCTATCAAAATTTACAAAATAGTCAATAGATATTAATGATATTATAATAATATAAGAATTGTATGTACTTATGTTTTATAGGTATTTTACATTATACCATAAGTCGTACCTACTGAGATATCAAATCCATATAGACATTTGCTTAATTTTTATTTGTTATTTATTTTTTTATTTTTTTATTAAAATGTTGACTGATAAAATGTAGAATTAATGTACCATTCCCTTATCCCTCCGTAAACAATAAAACGATATTTTGTGTTGTTATTATATAATGTATAATGTTGTACATTTAGAGAAAAATGGAGAAGTCATTTATTGTGAAACATTTGTTAAAAACCAATCTCCGGATTGAAAAACAAAAAAAAAAAAATGTTGTACAAAATATTTTTTTTAAAACAGTCATTACCTCGGAAATTAGGTATTGGGATGTGCAATTAAAATAATTATACATCTTCTACGTCACTAAACTTTAGGTTAATTCAGTGTTTCTATTTAAAACATCAGTAACATCACATGCAATATGCATTAAAATATCTACGTTCTGTATTATTATTAAATTTTCCAGTCGGACTTTTTCCGTGTTCACTTATTTTGGGAACGTACATGATTTATGTCGGTCGACGTCGACAACGGTGATACAATAAATCTATGACAACATTATCGATTATCGAGCCGTAGCTCGTAGGTATGAACACTGTGCAGCGCCGCCGAAGCTCTAAATTCCGATAGATAACGTAATTTCGTGCACGTTCTCGATATGGATAATGGATATCAATTATCGAACCGTGTGGGTCGATATGTATACATTCTCTACGTCGTCCTGGCCAAGGTTTATATTATATAATAGATATTATACTATTTAGTGTTTTCTATAAACCTTACGTCCTAGTGGCATCCCACATCATAACATACAACGGATAAAACGCGAGTAGAATCAATTATGCGTGTTGTGTATGGATCGCATTGAACAATCATGTCATACCATAGAACAATAATGTTGATCATACCTCCATCTTCCATCACCTGTTAACTTATAGGTAAATTATAACAATTATATTATTCTATGAATTAACTATGTTCAGTATGATCCACATTCCACATATATTTATATAAAACTAAATAGCCTTCTACGTACTTGATTATTTGCATAATAAATTTGTTAATTTAAGACAAAATAATGGCTTAATTTTAGGATCTGGGAGTTCATTTAAAATAATAATGGAAGCTGAATAAATTCTTTTAATTTTAATAAACCTTAGTGTGCTTGAATTAAATAAAATATATTATTAATCATAATATATTCAGTAATTTAGATTGCCATTGTAGTATTTTGGAATGACATCATAAAATTATTTTGATCACTATTTTAATTAAAGATATTTAAGCATAAGACTCAAATAATTTAATAAACAACGATCTGTATTAATAAAACAACCAGTAACAGATATAATAGAATTTCATAACACTCATAACTTATTAAGTTAAATAAATTAGTTTTATTTACAAATCATTTATGTAATAATTAAATTTAGGTATATTTTATATCTAATATGTTTTGTAGGTACCTAATTTTAAGTATTTTATTAAAAATGTTAAATCTATTTTCTTTAATTATTTTTTTATTTTTATTTTGTGTTAACATTGGGTTTGGGTAAGTTTGACATTTGAATTTTTTATTAAGGCTATAGCCTATAAACGCAAAATTTAACCTAAATAGACTAAATGCAACCCAAAAGCCCAAAAATAAATATTCCATAAGCACAAAATAAAAACCTTTTTAACAAACCATGAGTGCAAATAAATTTCACAAAAATAAAGTGTATTTTATCAGTTAGAAATACTGTATATTATATTGTATAGTTATTTTAAATGTTTATCAACCTTCACCGTAATTCGTTACGGTAAAATACGATACGATAATATTAAACTTCAACTGGACTCGATCACTATTGATGTATTTTTGAATTAGGTATAAAAAATATTATACATTTAATTAAAATGAATAATTAATAATTAAAAATAAACTTATAGCGTAACGTGTAAAATATTTATTTTTGTGCTTTTATCCTACTATTAAGATACAAAATCGCAAAATGAATTTTCGCTTTTGGGTTTCAACGTTTTGTTATTATCATTCACATATTTTTCTAATATTTTATGTGATTTTTAATTTGTATTTACTTCAATAAATTATGTACTTTATAATTTTATATAGTAACTAGTAAGTATAATGTAATATATTTCCTATACTTATACCTAGCCTAAGCCCTAAGGATACTGAAGGGAAAACGCGAGTTAGGTCCCGAGATATTTTATCCCTTAAAAAAAACACGAGTTGGGTTCGTGGTAATATATATATATTATTATTATTATTATATTATTAAATAATAATAATAATATCATATCTTATCTTAATAAGACGTATAATACAACGTAACCGGACAGTTGTCGCCGGATAACATATTGTAACTTGCCAGTATATCGGCACGTATCAACGCTAGAAGTGTCCATCTAATAAAATATAAAATAAAATAAGTATAGTGTTTTGTAGTGTTATTTTTTAAGAGAAAAGATGCTTTCTTTTACTAGTGGAGAATTGACGCGGTTAAATTTTGTAAAAGAAGTGTCATTTAAATTTATTCCCTAGCTTATATTAGTACAAATATTTATTACTTATTTTTTATTTTAATACAAATATTTATTACTAAATAATATATAATATTTTTTATTTTCTAAAATTAATCTAATTATTTAATAATAATTTTAATATTTTAATAATTTTTACATCAGACCTTAACATAACAAAAATCAAAATTTTTGGGAAACATTCTAGCCAATCTCCACGTGGTGTCTTCTAGGTAGGTAACGCAAATAGGTTAGTCCCAACTCATGTACTTACTCTATAAAATTTACTAGGACCCAACTCGTGTACCTATTATATAAAGTAAACCGGGACCCAAATCATGCTGTTTTTGAAATCTGGGACCAAACTCAAGTTTCTCCATGTTGAAATAAGTTTTATAGCATTGGCAACGATAAAAATTGTTAAGCCTTTCTTTAACGAGTACCTACAGTATCTTTTAGGCTGTATTGTTGTTAGGTAACTGTTAACAGCTTAACAGACAATAAATGAAATCTAAATTGTTAGTGTTGCGGAGAATTATTTAATTTTCCAAACTATTGGAAATAATAACATCAATTTCTTTGTATGTCCCTGCCGTATAAATAATAAATTTCCACATTTCACAAATTTACGTCATTTATTAATAGTACTTGAATTTTATTAAACATTAATATTAGAAAAAATAAGCACCTATTTCTCTTTTATCATTATGCAGTATGCATTATTTATTATTTTATTGCATTAATACCTAAATATTAAATAGTAATAAATAAATAGCTACAATTTTTAAATTCCATATTACTATTTACTATAATATTAGTGTCTACATATTATATTAGCTACTTATCACATACCATATTGATAGCAGATTATAAACATTGCCCTACCTATACATGGCGGCTATGTAGGCTTCAATTATTAAAAGTATAATAATTGTCAATTGACTATCTGACCATATATCACCAATGAAGAACCATTGAACATTGAACAGAATTATGAAAATAGTAACAATAATAAAGATAAAAAATTATAGTTGTTAAGTGCTATTATCAGTAGCACGATCCGCCATTCTAACTTGGAAAGTGATAATGAAATGGATGTATATTGTATGATATGTCATATTATAGCTTATAACTTATAAGCTTAAAGCCTAACTTTAACAGTAAACACTCAACACTAAACAGTTAAATAATATTCTGCATAAATAATGGTTTTACTTTTTAGGTATTATTAATTTTTCACATTCACGTGCGTTCTAAGTTTACACATAGACACGGAGTGTTTTTTTTTTTAATTAATGATTTTACAATTTAACTTTTGTTTCGCTAGACGAAATGAAGCTTTAACGGATTCTTGTAATTTTCAAAAGTACACTATCAACTACCTATATATTAATGGTTCTTATTTTATATCGATATTATGAAAAACGTATGGGTGTGCTCTACTTCCACTACCCACTACAAATGATGGGTCATTTCGTTGGTTAAAGATTAAGCTGGTAAGTAAATAATATCATATAGTGTACCCATACTTCACTACTATAGTCGTATATTATACTTTATTTGAAATAATAGAGAAATAAACATGTTTTAATTTACTAATCATATAATTATTTTTAATTAGGTAAAGTTTTTCAATTTAAACTTGAATAATGCTATTTTATAATATTCAAATTTATTTGCTTGATAAATACACACCATTAATTTTAAAGTATGTTCTTTTTTTAAAGTACCTACTTAAGTATTTACAATTGCTCTTTTTGTATAAGTGTTATTACTTTGTATTTTTTTCTTATTGTAATTAGTGCTTATTATAGATTTACTGTCTATAATTTATTTTCTAATTATAAAATATCTTAATAGCATTTTTTTTACTTTGATGAAAATAGTTTCAAGAACCTGGTATGCACAATAATTTGTTTTTTGATAATATTAAAAATGGCGATGTAGCTATTTCACTATTATTTTTAATTTAATTGAAAAATATAAATATAAATTTTCTAGACATTTAATTATTATTATATAATGTATTTAATACAATTTGTTCTAAAGATAAAAAAAATTCAATTTCGTATTTATATAAAATATTAGCACGAATTTGATGTATTGATTAAAAATTTTACTTAGTACAATAAAATTTCAATCTCACCTGTAAAATTTAATTTTATATTATTGATAAATTATAAATTTGTAAAGTTTAATATCTTGGTTTATTAAATATTATTAAAAGCTGTGTGTCTATGAACTAATACTGCCATAATCCAACTTTTAGTAAAAAATATCAATAGTTTCACGAGTTGGTATAACTCATTTTTATTACTTATTAATTTCTCTATAATATAAAAGAATTAGTTAAAATTAGTAATTTTTAGTTAATACTACATTTACAACATAATATGTGATACTAACTACAGTTTATTTAATTCCAATTATTTTTAGACTGTTAGCTATTTTTAAAATCCATAAAAAATACCTAAATAAACCATGTACTAAAGATAAATAAATCATTAAATCTATTGATTATTCTTATCATCTTAAAAAATAAGAAGCATTTTATGAAGATTAAGTGTATTTTTAATTTATAACTGCATTGATTAATTCTATTGGTAACTTTGGTACATAATACATTTATAAAACCAGGTACAATATCAATTTCTAATTATCTGATTAAAGAAAGAAGTTAAGTAGGTATTAAATATAATTAATTATATCATTGATAAACAGTAATTATTTTATCACTGTTTTTAATTGAAAGATTTTTCTTTGATGTATAATTTAATTTTGATAATATATAAAGAGAAGGAAAAGCGTCTTAAATATTTTAAAGTGCATTAATTTATTTATTTTGGAAATTTTAACAATACTTCATAATTAAAGTTTATATGTTTATGATGATTTAATTTCTCTATGACCTTTGACATATATGTTAATAATTGATTATCTTTTTCAAAACATACATGCTTATAAGTTATAGCATTATGCCAAAAAAATTTTAGTTTTATAAAAATTTAAGATAGAAATCTAGAAGGATTCAACCTTATTGATTCATTTATTATTTAATATAATTTCAGATCATAATACATCAGACAAAAAAAATATTTTACGGTATTTGAAGGAGTTTGGTATTTTATTTAGACTTTTTTGAAAAATTTTACCTGGATTCTTTAATTTTTAACTGCTTTTACAGTTATATATATTTTTAAGTTTTAAATTTTTAGTATTGCTTCAATTTTGAATGCAATATTAGTATGAATTGTATTATAATAATATGTATGCTCTATTGCCCTAGCTTCTCCAAAAGTTAAATAATATTACTTGAAGTTTTCTGAGTTTTCATTAAATTTTAAATTTTATTTTTGTATTGGAATAGTTTGCCTAAGTATAATGTATTATATATTATAATATATTCATAAATTTAAAAAAAAATTAAAAAACAAAAATTATAATTTTATGTTTATATGACTATTAAAAGCATGTGTTATTTTACTATGTTTTGTTTTTGTGCTGTGTTTCAATCAGGTTCTATATGCTAAGATAAGTATGGTAAAAAGAGTTTCTAAATCTGATTGGGATGCAGATCCGGAAATTGGTGAACACGAAGTCAGATATTCAGGTATTTTTAAGTGTTTTAAATAAATTATTTATAATAATTATATAGAGCATTTTAATAATATAGTATACTATATCATAGGTGCAATTAGACCAATATTTTAAAAGGTGCACAAAAAGTGATGAACTCACAGATAGCGCTGGGAATATATTTATGTATACTTAATTATTTTTCTCAGTGTAAAATATAGTACAAAATATATAATTAATGACAATATTTACTTCTAAATATTTAAATTTTAATAGTAAAATGTTGTAAATGTTGAGGGTGCACATTTTAAAGTTAGGCATGCATAAATCTCTGTTCACCTAATTGCGCCAATTTTCTATATATATATATCTATACTAAAATAAAATTAATAAATATTATTATGACTTAATCCATATTATTATTGATGCCTAACTGATATTTTGATAATAATAGGGTAATTAATTATAATTAGAGCTATGAATTTAACATCAAGCACATACTAACATTAAACTAAATTAAATAATCCAAATCAGTCTAATTAATGCTTTTGTTAAATTTTAAAAAGTTTTATTTTTAATTTTCAATAATTATTAATCTGTATAAAGTTCTACTACTTTTAATTATTATTGAAAAAATATACTAAACAAAATCATAAAAAAAAATTAACTATGTTATTTCCCTGTCATAATTTCCATATTATTTATAAAAAATATTTTAATTTAAATAAGTACAATTTCTTAAAATTATTACTATTCACAATAATGCTTATATAAATATATTGGTTATGTTATGTTAAAATATTTTAAATTATTCAATTCATATTATTTATTAATAAGTAATAATATATAAACAATAAAATATTTGAAAAATATTAATTTTTAGTAAAAATTATATTTTAAGCCAAAGTTGGGCAGTAATTAGTAAAAAAAAAAAAAAAATTGAATGTTAGAAAATAACTAAGTTATTTATTTTCATAAATAATTGTAATTTAGTTGTTTTATTGAAATTAAAGTTATTTGTAAAATATTTACAGTATTTTTTATTATGAACTGTTTTATCTTGCATTGATTTCTGGTTATTATTTGTATTACATTTTAAAATTGAATAATATTGTACTTAATTGTATATATTATGTGAGTGCAATGATGAAAATATTATTGTCATGGTCACTTGAATTGTCTAGATGAAACCAGTCTGCTAATTAGAAATAATAATAATAATATAAATATAAAATTAGGTTTAACTTATCTTAATAATTTTTTTTTTTTAAGATAACTTAAATTGATTAAAAAAGTTGGTTAATTTACCTAGCTTTGACTTTAACATTAAATTAGTTTATACTGCATTTGACTTTAGAGTTATTCATTATTATATCAACAATTTACAATAATGTTCCTAATTTTAATCTTCAATCAATAAAAAAATCATTATTTTTAATAAGATTCAAAATTTATTATAGCTTTAAATAAAATAAAATACAAATATCCAATTCCACTTGTGAATTTTGTTGTGCAAATAATTTGTAAGCGAGTATTAATAAATACCTCGGTAAATACTAAGTTGTAAAAACATAATTATCAAAGTTTATATAAATTTTTGATTATTATAATTTGAGATTTAATGAATTTTTTTGAACAGGGGTTGGCAAGAGGCAGCGCATGGAGGGAAAATAACTGGACCGCAAAAAATATTTTTTATTGCTGGTTTTCCACACATAATATATATTTAATTTATTTTATGATGAATTTAGAGATCATGATGGTATTCATCATTTATCACTGTTTACATATTAGTCAATAATTGTTATATTATCATAACTATTATTGACTAATATTTAAGTTATTATTAGCCTTCAAAATTTTTTTTCAAATTTTCTAGACCTCCATAGAATTTAATTGCTGACCCTTGACATAGAAGATAATATAAATAATCTGATTATTAATTTTTACAGATGTAAATCTTAATTAATATTTTTATTTTATAGCATATGTTCTCAAATCAACAAAAAAATCTAGATTGTCACCAGAAAAAAGACCATTTTTGCCATATGGTAAGAATATATTTATTATTAATTTTTACTTTTCTAAAATTGACTTTTTTCTTTACTAGGCGTTGGACCAGTTGTTGACTGTGAAATTGATGATGATAGTGGAAAACCTGATTATTTAAGTAAGAATAAATTATATAGTTACAAATATATTTAATTAAACTGCTTAGTACAATTTTTTTTTAATAATTAATAGGTTATAGTATAATACCAAAAGAGAATAAAGAAAAGATAACAAAAGGTAAATAAATATATAAACTTCATAATAGACAATAAATTTAATTAAGCAAGGTATATATTTTATTATAAAAATACTTATTAATCAATTTTATTTTATTTTTATTATTTTAGAACAAACAAAAGAAGTAAAACAAACCAAAAAAACACCTAATTCAGAATTATCTCTAGACCATGTGTAAGAATTTTATATTTAATTTTTATAATTTTAAATTAAATAAGTATAAATAATAATATGTATTATTATTTATGTGTAGTCATAAGGTAATACGTGAATTAAAACTTCCTACATTTCAAAGGATTATAAAACAAAATAAATTTGAATTAATACGAATAGCAAAACGCCGTCCAGATCGGGTAAATAATGTAATTTTTATTCAAAAATATGAGGCCCTACTAAAATTAACCCTATATCATACATTGGCCCATTTCAATTAGCATTCTGGCAGATCACTAACAACTTTATTCATAAAAATGTAACCATTTAAGTGGCCTAAAAACCTTTTTATTAATGATCTTATAATTATAATTTGGCTCCATTATTCTTGTTATTTTTAATGTTGATTTTTTATTTTTAGTATCATTTATATGTAGCTAAACTTTTGCTAAGAACAATATTTAATCCTGTTCAGAAAGTTTGGATATATTCACAAATAAGGGAAGTATTAAATATCCCACCTCATGAATTTGCAGTAAGTAAATTTATTTGCAATTTAAAATATTATTAACCCTTTGACTGTTCTATTAAAACATTGCTATTCTTGGCTCTACTGCTACTTTATCAAATTTATTTTATTTTTCAAACTTTTTTTTAATTTGAGATTTTTATTCTATATCCTATAAATAAGAAGAAAGTGTAAATATGACAGCAGAGTCAAAGGGTTAAATATATCTATGTATTAAATAATGAGTAATGATATAATTTTTATTTGTTTGTTTAGAGTGTTAAATATGTATACACCGTGTTAGCACCAGAAGCAGCTCTAATGATTTTAAAGAATAAATTCAAATGCTTTGCCAAAATATGCGATGAAAATCAATTGAATACTTTGTCACTTTTAAATAGTACATTTTTTGATGACCGATTTGAAAAAGATTTACATTGTCGAACTTAACAAAATAATAATGCATTATAATTATTATGTATTGTAAGATTTATTTATTTTTTTATCATGTAAGTAAATGATATATAATAAATTGAAATATTTTTTCAAAATGATACTCTTTGATTTTAAGTAGAAAATATATTGATTTAAATTAGAATTTCCAGAAAGCATATTAAAATAATTAGTAGAGAAAACTGAACATTAGGACAAAATGTATTATAAATATCAGCTATTTTATTGATACCTATTACCAATGTAATCACTTTACTTATGAATAAGTTTTTTCATAAATAGGAAAATCACATAAGTAATTCATTAAAATTGCATTTTTATTTAATCAAATATTATGTAAATATAATTATTATTGATCCTGAAAATTTTAATAGTACCTACATAATATTATTAAGTCAAACAGATATGAAAATGGAAAACTATATAAAACTGGGTGACTGTAGAGATTTATTTCGATTTTGGTTTCATCTTCACTAGCATTTCAATCAACGTAGTCACGCGATCCTTCAGCTATATAGAAAAACAAAAATAAAAGTCAATGTTTAAAATTAAATTATCATACCTTCATAAATCAAAGGTACCTATACTTTATGTAATTGATGTTACTTACTGTTGGTGATTCCTTAAAAGCACATATAGCAAATTGCTCTGCTAGATCACATTTCTCCACACCTTTGACTTCATAAATAAAAACATGATATATTTTAATTGTAGAGAAGTTTTGATGTATTAAAAAATATTGATAAATTATAGGTAAAATTCATTAATAACTAACAATATGTGATATATGATAGTAGTGATGTATTAAAACTTACCATTTTGACATTTGTCATAAATATGTTGCAATTGACTCTTAATACTAGAATTATTGATACGGTTCACATATTCGAGGAATTTGGAAGGTTCAGATTGTCCATCTTTATTTATCTATAAGTGTGAAGAAAACAATTCAATTATTATTTATGATGTATTTACCTATTAGGTTATTAACTATGTTCATCAAAATTTATAGGTATATTGTATTCCAATATTTCATGTATCTTTGTGTAATGGTTTATTGTATAATGTTAATTTTAAAATTTATTTCAAAGGTAGAAATCTGAACTAGACTTATTCAGTAACCCCCTTAATGTTTAAAAATTATAGTTTAGTTTCTTTGATAATATAACGAGATTATTTTCCTTTTAAATTATATATTTTCAAAAGTTCTAAAAACTATATTACGCATTTAAGCAATAAGCATAAGTATTTTATTTATACAGCCATACAGGTGCTCTTAAAGCTTTTAAAAAATATTGAAGAGAAGGGCTTTAAAATTAGAATTTTTACAAATTTTTTACCAACTATATCGAGTGTACAAATTTGTGGATTTACTATAGTTTAAATGTGAATTTGAAAATTCAAACAGTCACAAATCAATTTGTCTTATGTTTAAAAAATTTTTACCAATGTATTCATTATGTTGGTATAAAGCCAGAGCATTTTCACAAAAGAGTACATTTTTTAGCCCTTATTTTTTAGTCTTAGAGTTTAATTTTTTTATACTATTTTTATTAAGCCCAACGTGCCTTTTATTTTATTCAATTTAGTACCTATTTTAATAAGAATCAACCTTAAATTTATTATGAAAATCTTTTTGTAAAAATAATATTAATAACCACGGAATTATACTTACTCAATACTTATATTATGTAGTACCTAATCCTATCTATGTGTTCATAAATTTCGTTAAGATTATTAAAATTTGTGGGAACATATAAGTAGCTTAAAGTTTATCTTCTCATTTCGAGATTGTTTTATGCATATTATATTAATTATATCCCACAACATTTTAGATTCCACTAAAACATTTAATAAATAAATAAAAAATGATGAAAATTGTATTACTTCCCTAAAAAATTAACTCAGAAGATAATCTGTATTCATAAAACAATATTACAATTTTAAATAACTTACCATTCCAAGTTCTTCCCCGGCACATGCCATGTGACACTATAAAAAATATAAATATATTATATATTTACATGTATAGGCATTATATTAATACATTTTATATTTTTATGTAGAAAAACTAATATAGTTGAAAAAACATACAAAATACGAATTAATATTTAATTGTAAATTACGTACTGTACATTGTTTATATTTAGCTTGAGTTATATCATATTTAGTCGTTACCATTTCACCGCACGTGCCTAAAACATTATGGATTATTATAATTAATATAATAAAATATTGTTAAAGTCATCAATTTCAATGATTACTAAAAATAAATTTATTATATTTAATCAATTTTTCACTATCATTATAGGTTCGTATCAAATTTCACGAATTATTTAATTTATCTACGTAGGTAACTTTAAAGATATCTCTACAATTTTTTTTTTTAGAACCAACGACGCCGTGGGAGTGTTATTGCAGTACCTACGTCCACGATCCCACCAGAACTTGATTTGGGAGATATATACATATCCAACAAGAAACAGCTTTAAGTATAGCTGCTCACATAATTAAAAAATCTTTCGATTTTTGGGATAAATATTCTCTCCACGACTGATCTATATAAAAGGTGATTGGGTGGCCTTCTAGGCTCTTAGCTCATCTGATTTGTACATGAGTGATTTTTTCTTTTTTTCCTTTAAAATAAGGTTTCTAAACTTAATAAATTACCCAGACACAGAGGTAGAGATTGGGGGTGTTTGAGGTGCTTTCCCAAAAAATCGATAACCCCCCCCCCCCCCAAAAAAAAAAAAAATTATTGTATTATGTACATTGTACATAATATGTAAATTGTACATTGTACCATACATAATAATTTATTTTAAATATTTTAATAATAGAAAATATAAATATTTAATTATCTACCTACGATAATACTTAATAATAAATAGATTTATATGTGTAACTTTCGTGTACAGTTTGTATTATTTCATAAAAATATAATTGTGATGGATGCAGGATAGGATATTAAATTATTTGATCCGTATCATTGTTTAGGACTTAAGGTACAAGGTCACAAATCATCAAATTAATTTCTTTCCTTATCAACAATATTGTAAATATAATAAAATTAATGATTAATTGTAAATTATAATTATATATTATAAATGTGCTATTTACCCCAATCAGCATCCTTAAAGCATTTAAAAACCACTGTGAATAATTTTGACATTAATTCCTTATCCCCTTTATCTGCATCATCAGAAGCCTAAAGTAAACAGAAATAAAAATTAATAAGCAGGCGTGGATCTAAAAATAATTTATGAACGGGCTCTTTTTATAGATAAATAACTAAAATCAAAAGTTTTTTCATTACTTGGTTATTTGTTATTATATTTATATTAACGGGCGGAGTAGTGAGTATTTAAAAACCGCGGAAGAAGCTCTGTTTTTTATACTGAGTGTTACTCTTATCGAACACTCATTATTTCAAAATCTATTTAAATATTTAATTACAATTCACAGTTAGTAGATACATAATTTTATTGAAATAATACAAAATTATTACCTGTATATAGTTTAAAAACTTAAAAACTATTGTAGTCATATTATAGATATATTGATATTTCTATATTCATGATTTAATTTATACACGATACACTCCAATATTTACCCTTTAAGATTCGTGCTTTTAAATCTAAGTAACTAATATTAGTAATGCAATTTTCTGTAAAAATGAAATTAATGGTACTTAGAATTTTATGGCTCTTAGATTTACACAAATAATTCAAACAAATTAAGCCGATAATATCTATCTGTTTGATGAGTTTTACGCATTATATTTACTAAAATAAGTTGAATTATAAAATACAAACTAATACCAATAACAACCTTTTTATTTACTCAAAATTTAGGTTAAAACTTATTTTAAACAATGAATTATTCGTAATGTTATTTTATTATTTATGTATAGTAATATATGTTTTAATGAATGGATAAGTACTTGCCTTATTGATTGAAAACATACAACCGAAAAATACAAATACTGATACCAATAATGTCTTTTTGATTATCATATTGAGTTTGGTTGTTTAAAATCTGTTACACAAAACAAATATATAATGATTGAACGAGTATTTAAGTTATTTATACTTGATACTTTTTACTAGTAAGTAGAAAAAACTGTTAGCTTTGGGTCTTATATACCTTTTTGACGTTAATTTTACACAGCTTTTTTATTAATTTATTAAGACCTTGTAATTATTTTAACATCCGGCAATTTGATGGTATAATGTGTTACTGCGGAAAAAACTGTATAAAATGATAAAATGCATTATTGTGTTTAAATTATATTACTTTTATTTATCTGTCTTAAAAATCTCGATTTCAATTTCGAGGACGCATAAAATTCGTTCAACACCAATGGATTAAATAATTTTTTTGTGTTCATAATAATAACAGATTCGATTTATGGGAAAAATAATGAAAACAATGTAAAACAATATTTATAAATTCAACGTTAATCTAGATATAGATATATAATGAGTATATTATTATTATTTTTGTTGTTGTTAAGTTTGGCTCTTTTATAGTACATATAGTTGTCAATTTTGTGTATTCAATAGATATAATATTATAAGTTATACATGACCTCGGGATTAAAATTAATTTAACTGTAAAAAAAAAAAGCAATTTAATCAACTCATATTGACACATAACACGTAGTTTTTAGATCTTCAACCATTAGAAAAAAAGTTGAAGTTGAATTTATTAAGAAAAAAGTTATACGAAAATAGTATAAATTATTATACAAGTATCGTCAAAAAGTTGCTGAAAACTTTATATATCTATAATTATAAATTATTATAATTAACTAAATAAGAAAATAACACTGAGTTAGAATATTAATTATTTTTAAAATTCTAAAGTAATAAGGTTTTATTTTTATTTGAAGTATAACATTTTAGACTTAAACGCAGAGTGATGTATATCTTGATTTTGCAAAGTTTGTGATCACTTGAAATAGTAAAAATACTTCAATTTTTAACTATGAGGACTGTGGAGGTTTTTTGGTAATAAATTAGATCTAGTTAGAGCAAAAGGGGTGATCAAAAGTAAAAATTTTTTTAAAAAACGGGTAATTTATACGCAAAACTAGTTTTCAAAACTTTTGTTGTGATTAAAAAATGAATAACCATAAGTCCATAAATTAATAATAAAATTTTTTTTTATTTATTTTGATATATTTCAAATATATAATTTGCGGGATTTGAAATTTTTACGTATAATTTTATATTTTATTTACTCATTACACAATATTAATTTGATGCCACTCGTCATATGTATATGCGTAATAATTTTCGCTTCATTTATTATTACATTTATCTACACAAAAATTACGAAATTTAAATTAAATTTTAAATATGTGGATTCCAAAAAAAGAAAAACGTTCTTATAATTATTATAACCACGTACTGTCCAGAAACTTCCTCTTAATAAGGGAAGCAAATTTATCGCAAGTAAAACGTTATTATATAATTCCCTTCACTAATTTTTGTAATAAACAGTTACATACAATATTATTTCACTTCTTACAAAATTAATTAAAAAATCTTGGATAAAATATGAATTCAAACCTAATCAATTATTTCTTGTAACTTATATTCCTTTGGAATGCCTATGAATTAAAACAACATAGTAACAAACTTTTTTTAACTTATCCATAATAAAAACATAGATATTGCCCTTATTACTGAGAGACTCACCTATCAAAAACTGCCCATCTAAATTTCAATAGCAACCCAACTATTAGAGCTGATTATTTCGATGACACATCTAACAGGAGTTATGTAATAATAATAAAATCCTTACTTTTTTAAAATCAAATGAAAAATATCAATTAATCGTATCTACAAGTATCAAATATCAAAAAAAAAAAAAAATTTATTATTTAAACGTTACAATCTCATTGGCTCCAAACCAACAAATCACTGAACCCAAATAGCAATCATTTCTTCAGTCTTGATATTTTCTTTATAATAAGAAAAGATTTTAATTTTAAATATTCCTAATGAGGTAGTAGATACATTAACACAAGAGGTAGATTATTTCTTACTTCAATTTATTTATATCAATAATTGGAATTTTTCAAAGTGAAAAATGTATTCAATCAAAGTTAGAAAAATAAGGATTCCCAATCTAATATCTAGTCGGAATATTGGTATCTATATACTCTTTATTCAAGAGAACTTTTTAGTTTTTGCTATACATGCATAAATAAAAATGTTAAAAATTAATATTAAAAATACAATTCTTATAAATTAAACAAAAATAAATAATTATATATATATTAATGACCTCTATCCAATGGAAGAACTCCGAATATGCAAGGACACTTAGATAAAATAATTAGTGTTATCTTACAATTTGATCGCATGGTATATGTATAATAATAATGATGATATGATGACCACTATTCCAATGATTATTGTATTTAGTCTGCACTTTTTTTCACTTTTTGTGAATAAACGTTCTACTTGGTTTTTAGTATATCATAATTACTAATAAATTAATTTGGAAGTGGGAGGAGATTTATTTCCCATTGTAATTGAGAATTATACGTCAGTGATACATTGATTATGATTTATGACTTCATGAGTAAAATAATAAATATAATGTTATTATACAACATAGTTTTATATTTTTCTTAGAAATAACTATATAGTTTCAAATTAGTGATGTACAAATACAATAGGCATTTGATTATGTTTAAAATGATGGCTTGCTTAAGTAGTGGGTTTATTTTTCGATATCGATTGTATAATAATAGCAAACACATTTTATTTAAATGTTCATTTAAATAGCATAAGTATATTGTAAATTGGATCTATATATACTTATGTACTATAATAAAATTAAAATAATTGCAAAAAATAAACCGCACAACCATAGGCGTGCGCAGAAATTTTTCATAGGGAATGCAGAATTATTTTAGTAAAAGTTATTTGACATATTACAATTTAGTAAGATTGTTTCTATATTATATTAATTAGTTTATAATATATTTAAGTTTTTTTGGTGCTGTTTTATTGATGATAAAAATAAAGAATCTGAGACGTAAATTTAATATTATCATTGACTATTGTATAAAATAAAAACAATTATTAATTTAAATAATTTAAAATAAAAAATTCTTGTACCCGAATTCGTAGTTAAATCTTTAACTACGGTTATAAACATAATATCAAATAATACTATAATATAGATATTAGATATATTATTATTATATAATAATGTTGTTTAGGTATATGTATACATATAGTATACACTATACAGTAAAATTCACTTATAACGATCTTCATGGGATCTAGAGAATCTAGTCGTTATAACCGAACTTTGTAATATCTGGATTATAAAAAGTAACTACACATAAGATATAACACCAACTAAATATATTGCTTGGAATCATTTTACCCGGAATATCGTTATATATGGCATATTTTTAAAAGAATCCGACTGTATATATATATAATATGATACAGAATAAATGATACCCATGAGTCATGACTAAATATATTTAGTAATATATAGTATAGGTATTAGGTACTTAGCCATGATTACACCTACTCTCAATAATTGATTTTAAATAATTAAATAATTTTTCATCAAAAATTTATAGTAGGCACAAATTTTTGGAGGTTATGCAGCTCCTGTACATTCCATTCACACGCTCATGCGAATTATTAATAGTAAAATGAATTACTCCAATAGTTATATAATTTCATAAAATAAAATCATAGAAATTTAAAATGATGGAAAACCACAATCTTCGTTTAGAATCATTTTTTGTATAACACTCAATAATTTATCATTTAATTCAAATTTAATACATACATTACAGTGGCTTACTCCTCAATGACAAATTAGACTTAATTCCTAATGTACAGTAGAGAAGTTATCAACTTTCCTTCTATTTTTAATATTATTTTTCTATGCATTTTATTATTTTATGTGTGTATTAAACTAGGTATGTAGGTAAAATTCTTCAGTTCATTTCTAAAACCAAAAATAAATTTACCTTATTTACTTTCCACATAATGTATTTTCATTAAAAAATCTATCTAAGTTTTAATTCCTTGGCACAGTTTTATTTTTTATTTACATTAATTCTTGGCTTAAAAACAATAAAATTGTTAATGCTACGGAAAATGTTTTGTATAAAATATTAATTAGTTTTTGTTACACAATTATTTCACAATTGTTTTACCGAATAGTTTATTGTAATCAAAGTTATTTAACGTTCCTACGTCTAATAGCATACGAGTTTATTACAAAAATTCATATTATAAGCAATTTAGTTATATCACACGTTGATCTACTGAAGATAATTTTCAACTGTATGTTTATATGACTATAGTGACTGCAACTGAAATCAAGACATTATACTCTTTCTCTGATCAAAACTGCTCAAAATTTTTAATCGGCCTAGACTTGATAAACTATGTTTACCTAGCTCCATTGAAAAGATGCTACCTTTCGATGCCTAATAAAGCAGTTATAGTGTCTGAATCCTGTAAAGAAACGCTGTGCACTTCAATGGTTAAAGTTCACTCAAAACAACAGACAGAAATCGAGGTCAATACTGATAAGATTTAGCTAGTCTACTGAGAAGGAGGCCTGAAGTGACGTCTGTAACTCATAATCGAAAATATAAATCATTGTGGTACCGGACCAAAAAATTTGTTAGGTACATGTTATGTTACGCATAACGAAATATGCTTACATAGTGAAGTATGGTTTAATGAATTTTATGTCTATTTTTTCTGCATTGAAATTAATATAACTGTTTCCGACGAATGATTGAAGATTGCCATAGATGATAGATATTTTAGTATGACAAATCCACAGACCATATTATATTGTAGTTATTATATTGTTGTTATATCATTATTAATCAGATTCTAAACAATAACTAATAAATAATAAGTAATTCATTCCAAAAACAAATGGCATATTTGTAAGTATTTATAAGTAGTTATATTTTAATATTATGTTATGTATTTTTACTAGCTATATTGACTTGTAAGTCCGAAGTCGATGTCATCGATCGGCGTTAATAGGTTTGTAGGATAAACAGATTAAAATAATATAGCTAGTTTAATATATCTGACCGCATATATGGTTTATCTTTATCTTTGTCTTCATCTGCAGATAAATTCTATAAATATCGTGTCAGATATTATGTTTGTGGTTATAACACAAAAAAAAAAAGATATTATGTTGACATTGCATTTACTGTGACCCGAGGCGCTGTATTGGCAATTTAAGTACATTTATATTACGAAACAAAAATTTATCAGACATTTGATTCGTTGCGTTATTTAATTTTTGCACTTTGACAATTATTTACGAGTATCACAGTATATAATATTTATTCATCGCAGAATATTTTTTTGTTATTCTACTCCTAGAATAATTCCACAGTATTCAATATATGTACCAATAAGGCAATTACTAAAATACATATGTTAATAGTAAGTATGACATGATGTTATATAGGTATGGCATTGAATAGCTTTGCATAAAAAAATCATTGGCTACATTAGGTATTAGCCTTTTTATTTGATGTAAGTAAGTATGTGGTAATATCGGTTAGTCATCTATATTCTATTATAACGTCGATAGAGTTGAAAGACTTGTTTTGGGGAGTTCTTCAGTGTAAAATACATTATACCATAAAATAGAGTAATTAAATATTTCTATACTTAAATACACAATATCATAAATATGATACGAAAAAATTTTGCAGTGCAGGAATAGTAAAATATTTACATGTGTGCACTGCGAGGAAAAATAATTAACAGTATTAAAAACATAGGTATTAATGACCATTACCACATTATAAACTATCATCAGTTGTCATATTGACACATAATTTCCTACAAGCTAAGACGAAATAATAATTTATTTCATTATGACTATAAATACGTATTTAACATCTTAAAATCGATGATCATTATATACTTCTCAAAAACTAAACGAAATTGGATTTTATGAATTTAAAATTATAAATATAACCATAAATATATTATGTATACAAAACGTAATATAAATATCAATACTAGCAAAATTAAAAAAAAAAAAAAAAACAATAATAATAAATTATACGTAAAAATTATCAAAATTATTAAATTAATATTAATATTGAAATACATATTTTACACATTGTATAATATTATACACGTGTACGTATGTATTACGATGTTTATGTCATTTAAAACGATTCTAAATTGATCAAAGTTAAATCAGGTATCTGGAATATTGGATTGCATTTGGTTACTAAGTGATTACAAAATTTTGTGAAAATTCCGAATTAATTTAATCATTTTGAAGGATACCAAAGTGCAAGAGTGACGTCATGCTAGTACATGGAATTAAAGTTTGGAATTCTGAACTTTTTTGAAAGTTAGAAAAAAAGTTTTTGTGGTTACATTTTGTGAAATTTTGGTGTAAAAATTTACTACTTGAAGTACCGGAATGATGGATCTACTTAAATTGGGTAAAATTAGTATCTTTTATTGATACCAACATGTCAGTTTAAATGGTTGATCTTCGTTTTTTGTTTCGTTCGTTTCATCCCCGTACATAGTTGACATTAATATTATTATTAATACTGTCGAGTCCTAACTCCTACCACGGGAAGTAGAGATAATTTATTGACCAGCATATTTTCAATTTAAGGTTTGGGCAATACGTATACTGAGTTTCTTAATAGAAAATTAACTAGAGTAAGCACATCTAAATCCACAAGATTGATAAAATCTCATAGAATCGACGGAAATTAAAGAGTGAAAATTTAACAAACATTATATTTTACACATATAATGCAGTATATATACCGTATAATATTATTTAATTCCGTTTATATTATAATTTAACATAACTTATTCATAAATTGAGAATTTAAAATGGTCCGGTTTAAATATATAGTAAATCTTTATTCTTCTATAGCGTAAAAAAATAGTAAATACACTGAAATAAATAATATATTTTTAATTTAATCTAAGTATAAAAATTCATATCATTTTGAATACAAAGGCATGATTATTGAGTGCCGATGTTAAATTAAGTATACCACGATGGACTCGATCAACAACACGCTTTACACATCGCAATGTATCTAACATCATTACTGCCTTTTTATTTGAAAAATCGTTTAATTTTTTTGAAGAATTTAGTTCCACTCAATTTTTTGGCCAAACGATCTTTTCGATCCATGGAACATAATAGGACACTCTGGTATAGACGCCAGGCGTTTCCTTACTACCGCAATATTTCCCAAACGACGTTATACCAATTTGAGTTTGCATACACGTATAGTTGGGGTGTTTTACTTGCAGTGGACCGCCGGAATCACCCTACGATAAAATCTATACGTTACATTTGTACTATTATAACTATTATTATAAGTTATAAGGAAGACTCCATGTCAATAGTCAACTGATATTATTGTTTTCTCACCGTACACGTGTCTTTTTCATCTCTAATGTCGCCCGCGCATATCATGCTGTCTTCAATAATTCCGAGATTTATTCTTGGGTTGGTACTCTGAGGATAACTATACTTACAATGATCAATTGATATCGGAGACAGATCAACTTTTAACAAGTCAGGACTAATCGGACCATCTGCACAGATCACATACCGATTGAAAGTTCGATGTTATTATACCATAATTATAGCTAACAGTTTGGGAGCCCAGAAAAATGTTCGTCTAATCTGGCTCTGCAGCAGAGACTATTATGACACTTAGGTCATGCCACCACATTGAAGTGAGTGTCAAAATCTAGGGGTTGCTTTGTTAAATATTGATTGAACATACCGGTTTTAAAATAAACATCTATTTATGAATTGAATGTCTATTTTAGGAAATTTGTTCATTAGTGGCAGGTATATATTAATTGTAGACATTATACTAGAACTGTTATAAGTTATAACTAGTCTGCTACAGAGCTATGACTATATTTATAATTCTGATGAAAGCGCATAGATCTTTTTTATGGTGACCGTAATATACTTTCGAAATGCATCATAAAATCTGAAATCTCAATTTGCTTAACTGATAGAATTACAAATAGTATATAAAATAAATTTATACTTACTGGCCACGGTTCTACCCCATCCGATAGCCGTGGCCGTCTTGAAGCGAAACTTTTGAACTGTATTTAAGCACACAGGTCGTACGAACGCTGAAAATGTAACTTCCTCCTCCAAACGAAACAGCGCTATGTCATTGTATACGTAAGTCGGGTTATAATTGGGGTGCATCACGCGCTCCACGATTTTATAGTCCACCGGGCTGGCGTCGTCTGGATCCGAATAGATGTTTAAATCGCCCAGACGAGCCCAGCTCACCATACGTCTTTGCAAAGAGACATTTTGACAAATACTTTTATTTAAAATATTTTACACATAAATATTGTACATGGTACCTACTCACCCAGAATTTTTGTTACAGTGTGCCGCGCTCAAGACCCACTTGTTGCTTATCAACGAACCTCCGCAACCCCATGACTTTTCCTTGTTGGAACCATAACCTAATAGTACCTGCAGGAGGAAATGTTTCAATTGGTTAATTTTCGTTCCATTTTTTATTTTTTTATTTTAGATATTTGCTGCACAATATAATTATCATACCATATGCGGAAATTCTTTCGGCTTAGCTTTGGAGCCCCCAACGATCAATGTCAACACGTTGTAACAGTTTAGAGTTTTTGACGGTGACCCTGTATTAGACGGAGATGTTCCAGCGTTTTCGTACACCAGTTCCGAGTACTGGCGACACACTGCACGACAGTTATGAGAATAAATCATAATTTATTAAAAGCTGTCTTAATACGAACTTTTTGTGTTACATACTTTCAGTGGCAGAGTATGATGATGAAGCATTGGTGGTGCTTAAAACCGGCTTATAACTTGTTAAATTGACTGTTATTGTGGGTGAACAACAGACTACTGGTTTGTTTTTTATAAATGAACATATCTGCGGGAAATTCTGTTGTCGGATGTCCTGTTCTAACGATGAACAATTTTCTGGTTTTCTGCAGACATAATTTATAGAATTCTCCTTGCCTATTTTACACGTATCACCTATAGAATATAAAAGTATAAGCATGCTTACATTAAAAATGTATTTTTTATGTATGTATAATATAATATGTCTATGACACGTAAGTTTATATTAAATACAATTTTCGAAAAATCGAATTTCTGTTATTTAGATTTCCATAATTGCATTAAAAACTTAAATTTATATAAAAGTAATTACTATAGGATTAAATTGTATAATTAAAATGAAAAATAAACTTTAAATATTAATAGACGATTACAATTATTAAGTGTTTATTAATCATTGTTTTAAATTATTTAACAAGTACATACTAATATACCATAATAACAGTACTAAAATAGTACTGCCTTAACAATATTATTATCAATTTATATTTCTAATATAAGTGGACATTTGAAGCTAATTCCCCTTCCAATATCCAACTATGAATTTTCTAATTCTATAGTTCATTATTAATTTAAATACAAATCATTTAATACAAATGTTTATTTCAATATAGGTACTATTAAAACTTATAATAACTTATCAATATTTTAAACTCACCTTCATACAAATTAAGTATATTTGCTTTCTGTCCAGAAATGAATAGACATACTATTAAAGCTAATAAATTTTTAAAATATGAGCAATATTTAATTTTAAGATACATATTTTGTATTGCTATTATAACGAACTGATGAGACTATGATAATACGATTAAGCAGTTTTGCTTGTTTATCCCACCACATTCCTAATGATGAAAAGGATATTTATATTTATGTATATTGTATATTATGTTTACGTTAATAATATATATGTATAGTACCAAGGTTAAAAATTAAATTTAATATAAGGTACTTAACTGGAATCAAACAGGTTATTTTTGAGGTAAAAAATATACCTATTGCTTTGGTCAATAAATAATAGTTGATGTGTAATATAACGTGATACGAATTATAAGTACAATTAAATGAAAATTAACAGTTTATTAATAAGTTCATAAAAAATGAAAACTTATAAACACTAATAATTAGATGGTTTCAAATAATATATCGATTTTGGATTACCTTTATAATTATTATGATATTCGTTTGTAGTTTAGTAACTAAATATGCTTACATTTTTTAAAATTTATTCCATCATAATATTACGTAGGCATGGTAAAATTGGTAAATAGTAATAAACTAATGAATAATAAGCGATTAAGTGATCTATTCTAGCTATGACAAATATCTGTAATTGTTGATGAAGTTTAATTGCCGTATTTATAGTTAATTTAGATTTCAGATCTTAATTTCCTATAACTAAAAAATAATACCTTAATAACATTTTAAAATCTGTGTATCACAATGGCATTTAGTCTTGAATTTAAAACAATAAATAGTTTCTGTTTACTAGTAATATCTAAATATAACTGATAAAGTTAGTAATAATTATTTATAGTATTTTATTGCATTTAGCATTACAAATTCTTGATAAATTTGAATAACATTATGTTAGTAATTTTAATCTGGTTTTTTGCAAAATGTCGGCTAAATATTTATGAAATATTGACATTTTTATAACAAAAAATAATATGGAAAAAAAAACGCGAAACACTTTTCTACTTTCATTTTATATACTAATGCATAGCCCATATACTATTATGCACAATAATTCAGTTATACCTTATATATCATTGATATTTTGTTTTCTAACTGGACCTAGCTCAATGTTTTATATATTTTTATCATAATTTTGAAAATAATACGCAATTTAAAATAAATTATGATTATTTAAACTAAAATAGAGGTGTGAGTAAAAAACAGGTTTGAAAAAAAATTTATCATTAAATATTCATTATTTTTGTGGGTTTTTATCAAAAAATATAATGTTTTATTTATTGTATAAATTTACGGTATGAAAATTTAAGTATGTAGGTATAGAAAATTATTTCTGCTTTGGGTTAAATTAATAATACGTAGCTGAATTCATAACATTATATAACATAGTAAATAATAATAATATATTAGTATATTTACTCTATAATATCTAAAAATATTTTACATTATATAACACCTACGTCTTATGTAGTATGTAGTACTATTCAGTGTTGTAGTTCTTAAATGGTGATTAGCATTCGAAACGGTATATGTACATTAAAAACCAGTGACAATGTGATATTTAGGGGTATTTGATTATTTGAAACTTTGTAAGCATCAAAAAAAAACCCCTCAATTATTGAATGTTTGGTATCAGAAAATTTGTTTTTTAAGTTTATTCTATGATTGTTCAATGAAAAGATTCCAACTGCAACGTAAAATCGTCGTCACTGTATCTAACCGCACTAAGATATGTCTACGTTTAATATTTCGAACTGGGTAATCGAAATATTCGACATCCCAGGCGCTTCTGTAAATATATTGCATATCTAATAATAACAAAATAAACTTTTTTTCGTAATTTTTAATATAATATAATAAAAATAATGAGGTATGATAATAGGTACTATAATTAAAAACTTATACTGCTATATGGCATATTACCAATTGACATAAATTAATTTTTTTTCCTTTTAAGCAGACCTGCGGATAGATTAGGTTTGCGTTTACATCGCTTGCCCTAATCATATGCCACGAGAGTCACTATATAAATGCGCGATGTGGAAATTCAAAATTGTGTCAAATTATAGATATAGCTCTATACATTTTTTTGAATCTGTTATTTGTTTTGATGTATTAGTAGTAAAAAGTATGATAGATAAATTGATTGTAATAATGTATTACGTATTATTATTATTTGTTTTACACCAGCTGTGTTTTTTAAACCACTATTTTCATATTAGTACCTCACCATTAAAGAACAAAATCTATTTTTTATTTTTATTTTGCATATTATTTTTTTGAATTATTTTCATCGAAATACAATTTTTCCGTTAGATTACAAGTTATGACTAAAATAAAATTATTATAAAAACAAATAGGAGAAATTCTTTTGTATTAAATTCTTATACTTTCCCAGAAAATAATTGCACAAAAAAAATTTAACTAGTAAAAGTGAAATTTGATACATACATTTTTAGAAAAACCAATACTATAATATAATAAATACAAAATACCACGTTTTTTCAAAATTATAAAAGCAAATTTCATGACTTGTACTTTATGAACTCGCTTTAAATGTTGAAATCGATCACTAATAATGTACTCGTATAACCCCATCCCCATGACTATGTGACTGTTTGCTACATTTATATTCATTAATTACTACAGACTAAGATTATTCGAAGACTATCGTTGTCCCTAGTTTACTTATTCCTTATTGTTATCCTTTAAAAAAATAAATAGACAATAAAATAATTTACAAAACTGTATAAATCGTTTTTAAAATTAAAACAAATATTTTAAAATATAAAATGTATTTTACACTAACAAAAATATAGATACATCTTGAATACCAAGCATACAAAATGTTTATTTTGTAAGATTTAATAATAATTGGAAAAAAAAGAATAGTATTAAATCAAAAATTTATAGTATATAAAACAATAATAAATTATGGATTCAAAGTTGAAAAATCATTAAAAAACACAACTAATACGTCGACATATATTGAAACTGTATTTTGACAAATTGAATGCTAATTTTGATCAGCTTTGATTATTTATTATACTTTTGCACATTTATATTTAACTACAGCCCACAGTAATATAAAACATAAACATAACTTCCAACTTATAAACTGTGTCAATGGCGTGTTTATAAAATCATATTAATCATATACATTTCAAATTCTTGGTATTTATCTATATTAGTACGTATATTACAACTGGCTGTTTTAAAGATTTAGATACTCGTATAGTTATTTTCCACTATGCAATATATTGTATCTGCTGACTACCATTGGAACAGTTTAGGGCAATTTTTACATTTCAATTTAATAATCATAACTTGGCGTGATAGACAGTTTAAATATACTACTTTTATGACAAACCCTCAGAAAATAACTTTCGCGCCGGTAAAATTCTTCAATGTAAATAGTCGAAAATTTATTCCAACAATAAATATTCTTGATATCACGATGATTATATGAACTATACATAAAAAAATGTTTATATTTATATTAGTTAGAAACAACCTTAGTTCTTTAAAGTTGAACTTCCTGAAAATAAGGGTTCTCTAACCATCCAACTTTCAACATGTTTGACATATAATTGACCCGAATAACTAAATGATTGATTTTGAAATCGTTTTAAAACTTAATTCTAGATTAGTGTAGTGCATACACCAATTCATATAGTGTATAAAAAAAAATCACGTAGAACTTTAAGTAGTATAGAAATAACTTTTATTAGATCTAATAGATGGTCAAGGGAGCAAGTTTTAAATTTACTACTAATTTAACTACCGAGGTTAACATAAATTATTGAAAATAGAAATATTAGTAGATTTTTAAAATTGTTATTATTAATATCCAAAAGTTGTATTTACGGCTGTGGCCTGTGAAAAAATTCTATTTTAAAGAGATAAGATAAAGTTAGCGGTATAGGATATGATTATTACGAAATAAAAAAATTATACATCAACTCTTTTATTTGATTAAATTTTATTAAATATCCTCAATTATCTGAAAATGCTATTTTTTCGATCCATGAAATGTATTTAGCTACTCTAGTATAAATTCCAGGTGTATCTTTATCACCACAAAATTTCCCGAACGACGTAATTCCATACTGTACATACATTTTGAAATAGTTGATATGATCTAATTGAAGTGGACCTCCTGAATCACCCTATAATCATTTTGATATTATTTAATTATTTAGCTTTATACAATTCATCACAACTTTCATAATTCGTACCGAACAACTGTCTTTTTCACCATCAAATGAACCTGCACATATCATGCTGTCAGGTAAAATTCCAAATTTTAATTTTGGATTATTATCTGAAAAATAACTTTCATTGCACTGGTTTATCGGGTAAATATCCAAATCCACTTTTAACAAATTATCACTAAGTGGCCCGGCTGAAACATTGTAGTAACAATAAATGATTATATTTGACCTACTTTAGAGATAACCACTAGTTTTTTTTTCTATTAATCATGTAAACTTACCCGTTTCAATTCTTCCCCAACCAGTAGCTATCTGTTTTAATGGTGTAATAGACGGATCTGAGTTGAGACAAATCGGTCGCACTGCATCAGAAAATTCTACGTCCTTTTCCAAACGAAATAAAGCTATATCGTTGTATAATGAAGGTGGCTTATATTCGGGATGTATTATATGTTGCACTATTCTATAATCCTTGGGCTGAACTTTATTGTCTTTATTAACGACTCTGTCTATAACTCCAAGTCGAGCCCAACGAGCCAAAATTCTAAAAATTAAAAAAATTTATCTCTATGATAATTAACAGACAGCACTACTATTATCAATATTTATTTCAAGTTACCTAATTCATGAATTAGTATTTAATTTTTACTATACTATTTACCCAGAACTTTGTTCACAGTGCGCTGCAGTCAATATCCACGTTTCGCTAATCAGTGAGCCTCCGCATTTCCAATCTTCACCATTTTCTGTGGTTTCACCAAATCCTATAAGTGCCTATACTTATACAATTATTACATAAATAAATAATATTATACATTTATAACTATCTTGATTTTGATAAAATTTATGATTCAATCTTACCATATGTGGAAACTCTTTATATTTAGCCGGTGTACCGCCAAAAGCCGCAGGTGCAAACTTATATTTCACTAATTTGGAGTACTGAGAACATTCTGCAAGTTATTTAGTTGATGAAATTTACTTTAAAAATTATAAGTTTTAGTAAATAACCAAAATCAATTAAAGCTAAAATCATTATTCTTCTTTTATACATCAAATTTCGTCAAAATTTGTTTAAAAAAAATTGTGGTTGTATAATTTTTAGAAAAATTGCTAATTACTTATATACAATTTTAAATTTTATAAAACAATTTCCAAATTTTAAACTTAAACACTAAAAAAAATCATTCCTATATAACAGAGGTGGCGAACCTTTTTTGGGTCAAGTGTCAAATTTTTTAAATCAAGGTTTTGAAAATTTTTCACATACCCAAAGTAAATTATATTTTCTACAAATAAAAATAAAGTTACACAATAAATATAGTAATAAAATACATTTTACAAAGGTATATAATAATTTTTAAACATAATTTGTTTCTTTGAATTTCTTATAACTAACATTTTATAAATAGCATAATTTTTCATAATTTTAATTTTTCACGTGCCATTAAAATTTCTTGAGATTTCTTGTATTTAAGTTTTTACTAATAAATAACATTAAATAGATAATAAATATTATATAATGTAAGTTCATACTTTCATCAGCAGGTGTTGTGTTTCCATTTTTAGTTTCTGGCATTTTAGTCAACTGTTTATTAGCCATCATTGGACAGCAAACTATCGGTTCTATACCAATAAACTTACATATATCAAGATATTTATAAGTTGTAATACTTTCTTTAAAAGCTTTACAGTCTCTTGCATAAGTACACACATAATTTTCATTTGATCTTCGGGCTGTACGACATATATCACCTAAATTAAATAAACATTTGAGCTAAAAAAATAAAGTATAAATAAATAATTTAAAAAAAAAAAATAATTAATTTAATTTTTTTCGATTAATTTTTTAATTCAACATGATTTCGTGAGTGTCTATTTAACATACTAAATAAATAAATACCTATATTTATTTATTTCCATTAACCACTTATGTCTTACCTATCCTCATTGTGCATCAATGTATAATATATAGTAAACATTATTTTTATAGATATATATACTTAACAAAAAAAAAAAAAAAATCAGTGAACCAGAATTTAAATAAATAAATACAGTGAAATAATGAACTTGTTGTTTTATGAATAGCTAGGTATTCAATATTATTTATTCAATACGAATACATTTTCATATGGTAATAGTAAAATACTTTATAATGTTATAACAAATAGTAATACCTATTATGGGTTTAGGTTTGTGATGTTTAATGGCAAACATAAATTCAACGTACTTTATAAATTAAAAATAGGTTGGTAATAAACTAATAACTGTTTTAGTCTATTATAGCATATTTGCTGCCAATTGTTAACAAAATGGTTACCAAAATATCCGTTGTGAACCTCCCCCCACAGCATGTTGTGTTACTATTGTAACCAGTAGATAATAAAAAAATTGTAAATTATACTTCATCTTCTCACTACACTAATATTATAATTTATAAGTATACTGTATAACTATGGATAAAAAATATTTGTACTGTGCATATATTATTTTTTTTTATATATAAAACCGGTATTTTGTCTACATAATAGTGACTTTACATATTTATAGTTAATACAATTTTGCTCATTTATATTAGAAATTAGTAATTTCATTTATAATGACATTAAAATATTAAATAATTGCAGCTATGCGCTTTTGATATTTTTATCCTATGTAAGAATAATCACTAAAAATCTTGTATATAATTTTAAAGTTTTTATTCCTATTTTCAAATAAAAATTTTTATCAAAAAATACAACTAAAAAAAAAAATGGAACATCTTTAATAAATATCATGGCTAAATACTTAGGTATGTCAGCAACTCTGTGATACGCATGTCATGACGTCAGTCAGCAGGAACTTTTATCACAGTTGTAACTAGTTTCAAGATTTGGCCAATAAAAATCCTTGCCGGCTGACGTCATATTACCATATAATAAATTAAGATTTGTTTATTACCTATTCCATAAATGCGCTTTTAGAACGGATTTTAGTATTATTGCTGACATACCTCTGAGTATTTAGCCATGATAATTATAATATAGCACAAAAAGAGTTAAAATATTATTCTTCATGTTTATAAAACGCTAATAAAAGTATTTTGTAAACGTTTTGTGTGAATCATTTTTGAATTACGCCGAAAAACAAAATTGATTTTTTTGAAAACAGTTTTTGGATAACAGTTACCATTTTTTATATTTCTCAATTATTTTGAAAACTACTAATATCGTTTCATTTAAAATCTTAAAATTAACACTTTGGTACTTTAGTTATTAGCATGTACATTTTTTTAAATTTGAATATTGGCCATTTTATCAATTTTATTAAAGTTTCAAAATATTTTAAAACATTATTGACTATTTTGTATTATCCAGTATACGAAACATAGTAAAAAAGTGTTTTTTTAACTTTCAATGCATTAAATAAAAATGAACATAACATTTTTTTCAATTAATTTAGTTTATGCATCTAGTATTAAGATTTAAAATGTGTTTAGTAGATTGCATATTGTTTGATATATTATGTATAATATCAAAAAATTCGTAATGTTACGGATTTAATTTTATTTAAAATATTTACGATTTTCAAATAATATACGATTACTATAGTTATACTAAATCTTTGTTTGTCTGATTTGTTATGCTTGTACTTATACACAAATGTAAATTTATCAATGTGTAAAAATAAATATTGACGTACCTTCGTTTAAACCAAGATTTCTTATTTCTTGTTGTAATGATGAGTTTAAAATGCATAAGACGATTAATATAATACTTAATAATATATCTTTAAAAAAATTATTATTTTCCATTTTCAAAAAAATATTCATACATAACCTTTAAAAAAAAATTCCGGTGATATAAACGACGAGTTGTATGATTATGTTATGCTGGTATATAATATTATTTACATTTTACTATTCAGTGTTCAGCACTGAACACATAAAGTGTGTTCTGTAATCCTGCTGTATTAGTACGTATACGAGTATTACAATACTAATATATTCTTAATGTTATAGCCTTAGTTGTATAGTTCAACAAATAGTGGTGGTGAGTGCCGAGTGGTCAATGGTAAATGTAGTGCTGCGCAGTAAGTACATATTTTTTATATTTTACGATGCTGAAATTATATTAGAGCATTAATAAGTATTTGAGTCTTCCAACTTATCTACATGATGGATAAAATACGCGATTTATTATATTATATATATATATATATGCAATATCTCTTAATAACGTTAATCACCAAGTACACTCTACTCTTTTTTATTTTCGAAACATACGATATATTTATTCAAATTCTGTTTTTTGAAATTTTTAAAAATACTTAAAAAAGCATCATATCATTCATATCCCAAGTACTTAGACTTTTATAGTTATACATCATTAAAGTGACTTATTGCATACAAACTTTCTGTAGTAGAAATTTGGTTATCCGAAATAGTTGGGATTGCACTTAATTCGAATAAGTTAAAATGATCTAACCTTACCTAACCTATACTGGAGAACTTAAAAAAAATTGTTTATGTGATTTTATATTTTATATTTAATATAATGTGATATATGTGTATTTCATTATATTTAATATCTTTACATATTATATTATTATAAATAAATATTTTTTGTTACACATTAATCAAATTATATTTTATGAACATATATTTTTTACAAACTTCTTTCGACATTTCCCTTATTCTTCAGCTATTTGTTATCCATTTATTGTTTCTCATTAGATGCCCAATAAATTGTTCTCTTCTTTACATAATTGTTTTTCATACTTATTTTAATTTATTCATTGCTGAGTATACTCGCCTTGTCCAAGAAAATTTAGTGTTCATTATTTCGTATCTCGTTTTAAAAGCTCCAATTATTCTACTTTGAATATCATCTTTATTTCTGTCTCACACAGTTAGGAAGTAAAGTCTAAACATTACTAATGCAGGATTGTATCCTTTTTATGCAAATTTTTAAATATAAGCTGAAAACTAGACTTAAAAGGAGGTTGGAATCTAACTCTAAAGTAAGTTAATGATCATCACTCAATAAAAAAATATACATTGACTCTTTATTTGATTAAATTTATGTGTGAGCTAACATTTAGGGGTTAAATTCCGAGATGAAAAATACTCTACGATCCATCCTGAGCTCAAACATATTGTATGCAAAAAATGCTAAAAATTTGTCAAAAACTATTTATTTTCATAGTCAAAAAGAGTATCAGTTAGGACTTTGATATTCTAAAATAGATTAAAAAAAAAATACAATCAAATACTAGTATTCAAACCTATTACTAAATGCATTAATATTGAAAAGATGTTAAAATAATTAACTTGGTATCCGGACGATTAATAACTATTTTAGAAACATTTATCTGAAAAATGCTACTATTATGAAGAATTTGAGCAATTCAGCAATATAATAAAAGATTTTTTAGATTAAAAAAATAAAAATCATCTTTCAAATTTAATCAACTATTATCAAATGTCCTCAATTATTTGAAAATGCTATTTTTTCGATCCATGAAATAAATTTAGCTACTCTAGTATAAATTCCAGGTGTATTCTTGTCACCACAAAATTTCCCAAAAGATGTAATTCCGAATTGTGTGTACATTCCAGTGTAGTTGTCATGTTCTAATTGAAGTGGACCTCCCGAATCACCCTATAAAAATTTAGATATTATTTAATGATTTAGTTTCATACATTACAATATGTATATTTCGTACCGAACAACTATCTTTTTCGCCATCAAACGAACCTGCACATATCATGCTATCGGGTAATATGCCAAATTTTAATTTTGGATTATTATTTGAAAAATAACTTTCATTGCACTGTTTTGTCGAAAAAATATCCAAATCTACTTTTAACAAATTATCACTAAGTGGTCCAGCTGAAAAATTGTAGAGACAAAAAATGATTATGTTTGACCTACTGTAGAGATTACTGATAATTATACAAAACTAACCCGTAGAAATTCGTCCCCAACCAGTAAGTTTCTGTTTTAATGGCGTTAAAGACGGATCTGAGTTGAGACAAATCGGTCGCACTGCATCAGAAAATTTTACATCCCTTTCCAAACGGAATAAAGCTATATCGTTGTATAGTGAAGGTGGTTTATATTCGGGATGTATTACATGCTGCACTATTCGATAGTCCTTAGGTTGATCTAAATTGCTTTCATTAAATACTCTTTCTGAAACTCCGAGACGAACCCAACGAGCCATACTCCTTAAAATTAAAAGAAATATATTTCTATGATAAAAGACATGAAAGACAACGCACAATATTAATTTAAATTTACTTAACTAGTATTTAATTTTATCATTGTATTTACTATTTACCCAGTATTCATTTGTTGACAATGCGCTGCAGTCAATATCCACCTTTCACTAATCAGCGAGCCTCCACATCTCCAATCCTCTCCATCTATTGTGGTTTCACCAAATCCTATTAGTGCCTATACTTTTACAATTATTACATAAATAAATAATATTATACACTTATAATTATCTTGATTTTGATAAAATTTATGATTTAAGATTTTAAGATTACCATGTGGGGAAACTGTTTTATGTTAGCTGGTGTACCACCCACAGCTGAATACGGGCCGTTTTCTGACCGATTATTTAACGAAGTTTCATTCAATGGAGATTGTACTGTATTCATTAATTTGAAATATTCATTACATTCTGTAAATCATTCAATTGTAAAAATTTTTTATGATATTTAAATGTGTTAAAAATTGGATTAATAAATAAATTGAAAATGGATTATTCAACGGCGCAAAATGAAGAAAATTTAAATTAAATATTAATTAATAATGATTTCATAGTAAATCATAATATTTAATCGTACGTCAATATCGCAGTTAACGAGTTCTATACGTTATATTCAAAGCAGTTGGTAAAAATTAGAAGGTATCAAGTTTATTCAGAGTTTAAACCTTTCATTATTTTTTGATGTTTTATAGTGAATCAAAAATAGTCAACCATTATTACCTATTGTTATGCATTACCAATAATAATTAATAAAGTGTAAATTAAAATATAAAATTAAAACTATTTATATTTTTCAATAGTTTAAAAACACAACAACATACTTAATTTATTTTCATAAGTATATGTATTTTTATTTAACAAGTTCACATTGCTTATTCTATTAATATATCTGGACAATATAACAAATATTTATATAATTATTTTTATTTCACGAAAGATTTTGAGAAAGTCTCAGATTTTCCATTATGACCGTAACATTTGTAGTGTATATGCTATATATTATATTCAAAGATTTATTCTTTGCCACTATTAAATTAAGTAGGTACAAAAAAGTTTGTTTTAATAAAAAAAAAAATAATAATAATAATATTTTGAATTAGAGATGCATACATTAAATCAAAATTATGTACTCTACTCGTAAATTGTAATACCATCACATGCTAATAATACAATCTTTTTTTTATTAAAATTAATTTTTTAGGTAATTAAAAATAAATCTATTTTCTATACAATATTATGGAATGCTTCTATAAAAAATTACAAGTTTCCAAAACAGAGACGCATTTTTTTATCATACATATAAATTATTTAAAAAAAATTGATTTAAAGCAAATAAACATAGTATTTATCACTGTTGTGACTTGGATAAATGTTAAGATTATAGTCTTGCAGATTTTATTTTATTTAATCAATTAAATTATAAATAACAAACGAACATTATCCAAAGTGAGTTGTTTTTAAAGTTATCAAAAAATAATTGGCCATATTTTTGTATTTTTTTCAATTTATTAAAAAAGTCATTATTTATAGTTATAAAATTAATAATTTTAATAAAAATATTGTACACTAAAATGTTTACCTATGAATAGGCCCTATTAGTAGGTATATATTTTATCACTGTTTTTAAATAAAATATTATAAATAACATATCTACAAAAAATCAGTAATCAACTACTTTCAACTGATTTTAATTTTCAGATATTTACTGCAATATATAATATTTATAGGTATGAAGAATAATAATTGGTGTTGAAACTGAATATTCGTACTTTTATCGGCAGATATTGAATTTTCTGGTATTTCAACTAACAGTCCGTCAGTTGTTATTGGACAGCAAACTATCGGTTGTAAACCATCGAACTTACATATATCAAGATAATTTCGAGTTCTAATACTTTCTTGTAAAGCTTTACAATTACTTGCACCCGTGCACACATAATCTTGTTCTGGTCTTTGGCCTTTTCGACATATCTCACCTAAAAAATATACGTATATAATTGAGCTAAATAAAAGTAACATATTATTCAATAATTTTCTGTTTTAGATTTTAAGCAGAGAGATAAATGTTTTGTTTTTCAATAACTTATGTTTTATTTTTATCTAATATTCCTTTTAAAAGCAGTAAAAATATTTGGATTTTCAACTTTAATAGTCAATTCTGGTTGAAAATTGGATCTAGCCGATACCTATTCAGTGAGTGAAACAATCACTGGTACTTTATTTAGATTTATCCCAATAATCAAAGTTTGAATTTTAATAAAATTGGTTATTCAAAAGTAATATGACCGGTTTTCTTAAGATAATATTGTATTTTGCAGCCATAAAATATTAATTTTAAAATAGAAATATTCCAATATTACCTACCGAGTATTATAATATTTTCGTTTGCTACACTCATAGAATATTTCAAAATATGTATAAAAATATCACACTGAAATAGTGTTACCTATGATAAATTAAGCACAGATTTTAACATAGTTATTTGGGGTTTTTTGATTAAATATTTAATACAAGACTAAAACTATGTTCGGTCATATAATTTTTTTCTTTAACCAACAAAAAAATAATAAAAACAAAAAAAAAAAAAAAATAATTATGTGAACAAAAAATCACTAAACCCCTCTTTAAAATATAAAATTTTAAAATTCACTTCTTAGTGCACTCAATTGTGGAATACATTAAAATTCAAAGTCATCGGTAGGCAATTATAAAGAAACCGGTTCAAGATAAATAATACCTGACAAATTTACTGAGAAAACTTTGTTTTTTTATTTTACTTTTAATTAAAATTCTTGGTGAATATATTAAACATATAGTTTTTATACATTTATATCAATAATTTATTGTTTCGACACACACTGTGCACAAAAATACCAAATGCGTATTATGACCTACCACGTATTATTTAAATATTTCAATAAATTATAATGTGAAAACGTTTAATCAGCAACATTTTATAATTCTTAAAAAAAAAAAAAAAGTATGAGTGAAAATATAAATCTATAATACTTATATAATTATAATAATTCGGGTTTCACTGTGATATTTATAAATATTTGAAATAGTCAATTTGTGAATAACAAAATATTAAATAGTTTGCAAAACTAATTATTATGTCATACAAGATTCCTCGCTAGTTTATTTTTATTAGAAATTTAAAGAAAATTTATGCGTTTAACTATGTACTCAAAAATCACATTATTTATTGGCGTATAAAAATATTTTAATAGTTAACTATCTACTTCCAATAGGGTTTAGAATTATTCAAAACTACATAATGTAAATACATGTAAAAATGTAAAAAAATTACATAAATAAAACTGGTAAGATGTTTCTTAGATGTAAAACATACTACAGATTAATTAAGGTAAGTAGGTCTAGGGTTTTTCGTGTCCAGTTATTATATTTAATAAGTACTTAATTTCATAGTTTCATAAATTTTCGACATATCTATAACAAAATATTGCTTGAAATCTAATAAATAAAATATTTGAAAATAGTCTTTTACACTTTAAATTACGTTTTAATTTTATAATTTAATCCCCTCTTATATACCTGAACAATATTTTACTTCGTTACTATGTTCGTTACCTTGGATTATACTCGTATCTCAACCGTCGACTAACCTGAGCAGCTCACATCAGCAATAAACGTACCTCCCAAACAACAGATTCCGACTACTCTCGACTACTATCTCTTTTTACTACAAAACACCTTAAATTAAACAACAAAATTTTAATCTACAAAGCTCTACTTAAACTCATTTAGACATACGAGATTCAATTATGGGGCTCAGCCTAACTCTTCAATTATTATTTAAATAATCACTGGAAATTAGTCCATAAGACTCAAGATAAAATATGCATAATTATAAGTATAACATTCAAGTAAATAAAGGTAAATAAAGCTAAAAATGAGATGTAACATATCGATTAATTCGACTACATAAAATAAATTAGGTTAATAATAATTGTTAGGTTGATTGTTGATTTAATTCAATATAATATTTATAATAATCAAAACTCTAATAATAATCAATAACCAATAATGATGAATCTATTATTTTGTTATGTTTCTACTAATACATAAAATATGATGTTGATGTACATTAGTCAATACATAAAGTAAATCGACGTACCTTTGTCCAAGCCAAGATTTTTTACAACTTGTTGTGATGATGTGTTGAAAACATAAAAGAAAATTAATATGACATTACATACTATAACTTTAAATAATTGGTTATTTTCCATTGTTAAAAAATATAATATTTAAAAGTAATTCTAAACACTGACAACAGACTACGGTGATATAAATGACGAGACATTCCGTATGATACACAAAAATATATTAAAAAAAAAAAAAGGTTTATTACTATTATAAGACTAGTAGTTACTGCAGACTGCTATATACTCCTAATGTATTAGGTACTAAATAGTACCTATCGAATTCGTAACGATCAATATTATCTTTGCAATATTATTGGACAATACCTATAAATACATGCGGAGTGGGAATTACGATCCAGTATTGATGTTTTAGTGCGTATTTTAGATAAATCCAAGATTTGTTGTATATATTAATGGCGTTTCTTATTCAAACGTTTAATTAAAAAAAAATCCAATTAATATGATAATTGATATTTTTATAAATTCCCATACAGACTTAAAATATGATCTGTTTTTATGATGGTTTTAATAAACATGTGGTAAATAATTTTATAATATACTTACATATATCTAACTAAGGCCGTAGTCAGCAAAATATTTATTTATTTTTTTATTTTTTTTTTTTTTTTTTTGGGGGGGGGATTAGAGTAAAATATGTTATATATTGTACATATGTACAAGTTTCAAATATAATAGGCATTTAAAATTATTTAATCTTCTTTCAAGAAAAAATTTCAGGGAGATCTGAACCATAACTCCTCTTCCCTGGCACGGTCTTGTGATATTCTTCAAAAGAAAGAATTCTTTATTCAATCATGTCTTTTTTTTTCTCATGTAACAGATTTTTAGATAAAAAAAACGATATATTAAAAAAAGGTATGCTATTGAGTACCTTTTAATTGTACATTAAATGATGAGTGGGCCACTTAAATAAGTGTTTTAATTTTAAATTCAATAATATATAATTGTACATTAATACGTTCATTTAAAACATTAAATGGCCTATAAATAACTTTATTATATCTGGTGGATAGTCAAAGAGACAAATGTAAGCTCTAAATAAATTCAAACAGGTGATTGAAAATATTATATTAAAATTATCAATATAATATATACCAAAAGTTAGACTTTTTTCTTTATTGAAACTTTACCTATAGAGGCATAGAGCTATTATATTTTACATTGTAACATTTATCAGACGGGAAAAAACATTGTAAGGCTCACACTACTAACATTTTAAGCCTGATCTTTGTATAAACTTAAGTATATCTTTGATGAAAATTACGTTGTTGGCTGAAAGAGCAGAAGTGAAGGAAAAGTTAATACCAAGAGTTAAAAAAAGGAAATTTAACTATTTCTTTTTCTGAAAGAGTGATGGACAATTAAGCAGTAAATGTTGAAAAATTCAATAAAATCCACCATAATTGAGAAAAGGGCAATATTTGCTATTTGATATAATTATTACAAAATAAAAATATATATATATCGAATCTTTTATTTGATTAATTTTTATTAAACATCCTTAGTTATTTGAAAATGCTATTTTTTCAATCCATGAAATGTAATTAGCTACTTTAGTATAAATTCCAGGAGTATCCTTGTCAGCACAAAATTTTCCAAACGATGTAATCCCGTATTGAGTATACATTTTCCTGTAGTATTCATGTTCTAATTGAAGTGGACCTCCCGAATCACCCTATAATAATTTAGATATTATTTAATAATTTAGTTTTATACATTACAACATGTATATTTCATACCGAACAACTGTCTTTTTCGCCATCAAACGAACCTGCACATATCATGCTATCAGATAATATGCCAAATTTTAATTTTGGATTATTATTTGAAAAATAACTTTCGTTGCACTGGTTTATCGGGTAAATATCCAATTCTACTTTTAATAAATTTTCGCTAACAGGTCCAGCTAAAAGGTAGTAATAAAACAATTGTTTATTTTAGTTAAGTATAGCAGTGGCTATACTAACTATTTTTGATAATCATTTATACCAACCTGTTTCAATTCTTCCCCAACCAGTAGCTATCTGTTTTAATGGTATAACAGACGGATTCGAGTTGAGACAAATCGGTCGCACTGCATCAGAAAACTGTACATCCCTTTCCAAACGGAATAAAGCTATATCGTTGTATAGTGAAGGTGGTTTATAATCGGGATGTATAACATGCTCCACTATTCGATAGTCTTTTGGCTGAACTACACTGTCTTCATTTACGACTCTGTCTATAACTCCGAGTCGAGCCCAACGAGCCATATTCGAAAAACTTAATATATATATATAATTATTATACGTGATGGATGATAAACAACGCAGAACATGAATTTCAAATTACTTAAATAGTAATAAATATCTAATTTGTATTATAACTAAAAATTACCCAAACTGTTGACAATGTGCAGCAGTCAATATCCACCTTTCGCTAATCAACGATCCTCCGCATCTCCAATCGTCTCCATATTTTGTGGTGTCACCATATCCTATTAACGCCTATTGTTATCCAATCACAATAATAAATAATAATATAAAACTATTTAAACCTATCTAAATATTAACTTTATATATACCTATATTATATATATTTAAGTATAATTTAATATTACCATGTGTGGAAATTCTTTTTCTTTGACCAATGTACCACCAACAGCTGCAATTCCAACCGTATTTGACACTAATTGGAAATATTCATTGCATTCTAAAAATACATTTTTCAGCAAATACTCAAAATAATTATTCTTAGTTCAAATATCAAATTAAAAAAAATAATTCAAGCAATAATTCCTAATTGGTATTAAGTTTTCACAAATAAATAACATAAAAATGTATAATATAAATTAGGTACTACGTGTTCATACTTTCATCAGCAAATATTGAATTTCCATTTTTAGTTTTTGGTATTTCAGTTAACTGTTTATTAGCTATCATCGGACAGCAAACTATCGGCTCTATACCAATAAACCCACATATATCAAGATAATTACGAGTTACAATACTTTCTTTAAAAGCTTCACAGTCTCTTGCACGAGTACACACATAATTTTCATTTGATATTTGAGCTGTACGACATATATCACCTAAATTAAATAAACATTTAAGATAAAAAAATTAAGTACATATAAATCAATGATTTTCTATTTTTTCTAACAGCCTTAAATTAAATGTTTTTCAATTCATTTTTTAATTAAAAATATTTTTGATAGAGATAGAATGACATCTGTCATCCAAGATCATGACAAAAATATAATATATTCATAAATTATTATTATTTTAATAAATAAAAATGTTTATGTATTTCTTCCTTTAACCACTTAAGTCTTACCTTTTTTGTGTCCCATTGTATACATAGTATATTTGTACGAGACAAACAATTCAATGTTTTAGCCGTTGTAGGTATAATAAAAATAGAGATACGTGCAGTTTTCTTATTTTATTTTACAAATTTCTATGATTTTTTTTGTTATTATACTTAATTATTAATAACGTAATATTAGTCTGTTGATCTTTAAAGTCTCTTTGAATATCTGTTGCGCTTCACGTTACGTTACTATTCACCGGTAGATAAAAAATAAAACCGAAAATTATACTTTATCTTCTCATTGCACTATTATTTTAATTTATAAGTATCACTATCGATAGGAAATATTTGTATATTATAAAATATATTTTAGATTATTAAGATAGTAATTTTTTTTATAAAACTGGTTTTTTTTGTAACACCTAATTACTGCCTAATGGCGACTTAACATATTTATAGTTAATACAATTTTTAATATGTTTTATTATAAATGTCTGACGTCTTGCTCATTATATTAGTAATTAGTCATTTCGTTTTTAAATACACAAAATAAATGTGGCAATGCGTTTTTGATAGTTTCTACTTTTTAACCAATGTAAGAAAAACTCACTAGAAATTTTATACATAATTATTTTCGAACAAAAATATTTATCACATTTTTTATTAAAAAAATACAACTAAAATAAAAATGGAACATCTTTAATAAATATAATTATAAATAGCACAAAAAGAGTTAAAATATTTCAAAATATTATTTTTAGTTTTGAAAACGCTAATATATGTATTTTGTAAAAGTTTTGAGTCAATAGTTTTTGGCAAAATTGATTTTTTTGAAAACAGTTTTTGGATAAAAGTTACCATTTTTTTTATATTTCTCAATTATTTTGAAAACTACTAATATCGTTTCGTTTAAAATTTTAAAATTAACACTTAGGTACTTTAGTCATTAGCATGTACATTTTTTTAAATTTGAATATTGGCCATTTTATCAATTTTATTAAAGTTCCAAAATATTTTAATACACTATAGATTATTTTGTATTATCCATTATACGAAACATAGTAAAAAAGTGTTTTTTTAACTTTCAATACATTAAATAAAAATAAAAATAAAAGTTTTTTCAATTAATTTAGTTTATACATCTAATATTAAGATTTAAAATGTGTTTAGTAGATTGCATATTCTTTGATATAATATGTGTAATATCAAAAAATTCGTAATGTTACTGATTTAATTTTATTTAAAATATTTACGATTTTCAAATAATATACGATTACTATAGTTATACTAAACTTTTTTTGTCTGATTTGTTATGCTTGTACTTATACACAAATGCTAATTTATCGATGTGTAAAAATAAATATTGACGTACCTTCGTTCAAACCAAGATTTCTTATTTTTTGTTGTGATGATGAGTTTAAAATGCATAAGACGATTAATGTAATACTTAATAACATATCTTTAAAAAATATATTGTTTCCCATTTTTAATAAAATTTTTATACGTAATTTCTGTAAAAACAAAAAAATATTCCACAAACTTAAATAACGAGTTGTATGATAATATGCTAGTATATACTATATAATATTTATTATATTATTACTATCGAAACTGAGTCCTGTATACCCGTTGTAGTATTACAGGTATGTGTAATACAGTACTAATAGAATACTATAACTTGTATAGGTAGTAGCAGGTATTTGTTTTTAATAATTTCCAATGTTATAACTGATAGTAGAACTGCGCAGATGCGCAGTACATACTTGTTGTGACATAATAGAATCACGATCGAACATTAATAGAATGGATCGTCGATTATCGTTGATTATCAAATTTTTGACCTGATGTGGATATCAATTTGTGCAAATAATCAGACGATGTTAAAAATTCCCAGTGAATTTAAATTTTTTATATAATTAAAAATAAATATTTGTTTAATGTATAATTATTATAGTATGATAAAATAAACATTGATGCATAGTACTAAAAGTACGTAATATGATTAATTTAAATTACATTTTTTTTTTTTAAGTTTCTTAAAGATAATTGACGTTCTAATTTTATTTTACCTACCTATCTATATAATGGATAATTACACAATTTGTTATATAAAGGTAGTGTTTCTTAAAGACTTTATCTACTTATTTACCAAGAACACTTGGAAATGCAATACATACATAATACATATGTTAAATTTTTGATTATTGTAATTTTAAAGAATACTTAAAAATGGCCATATTTGAAATAAATGTACTTTTATAGTTATCACTTATCATCATTGATGGAGTAACCTGTGGTATACAAATCTTTTATTTTTGAATCAATGACTGCTATTTTTACTTTCAATTATTAATCAAAAAATTGTTTTAGACATTGATGCATTTAAATATAATCAATTTATTAAATTTAATGTAAAATAATCTCCTTAAAAAATAAACATACATTTACATACTAGAACAAAACTTTCTATGTACTAATTTGAAACTAGTTATAGGTATATATTTTTTATTATCATACAAAATTCGTTTAATGCATACAATTAATTATTCGTTTTAGATTTTGAGCGGAGTAACGAATGAATTAATTTTACAATACGTGTATTTTTATTTAAGTGTTTGTACACAATAATTAGTCGATAAAATGCTTCAATTTTTAACTTTATACAGGATAGTCTTGAATATAAAATTGGCTCTAATCCCTACTTAAATAGAAAAATACTTTAAAAGAGAACTGCGGAGATCTACTCTCTCTCCACTCCCCAGTTTTGTTTTATTAAACAAAGAACTTATTTTAAATATCTAAAAACGTATTAAATAAAAATGCAAACGAGTAGTTACGTAGTTACTATTATATTTTATGCTTTAATTATGACGATAATTCTTAATAATAGTAGTAGAATATATGAAACATTTAATCTGATGTTAATACTGCCATTTTTACAAATCATAAAAAAATTAAAATAATAATATTATTTAATTAGTATAATTTGCAAATCATGGTAACATCTTCTATTTTCCAAACGTATTATTATTATAAACTATATCTCTATTAGTACATAAAGTTGGTCAAATCAGAAACCACTCATTCGAATTTAGTTTTAAATTTATAACAGTATTCTAAAAAAAAAGAGTTGTTATCTAATTTAAGTGAAAATTAAAAAGAGGGGTTCTCATATTTAAAATAAAAAATGTTTTTATCATCAATAATTACTCCTTAAATACTTTTACATAGTATACTATACTAACGTTTCTCATTTGAGAATACATGAGAAAGTATAAAAAAGTATGTGAAAAAAGTGTATTTAAAATAATGAAGTGTGGTGTATTTGAAATGGTTTATTATTTGTAAAATATTTAATAATATAATAATTGCTGTAACAAAGTTAGTTTTTCATAATATTAAGTGTATAATTCTACAAAAAAAAAAAAAAACAATACAGTAAAACCTCGATTATCCGCCAACTTTTGTTGTACATAACCCACCATCATAGTGATGATATTGTGAATTATAAACAAATAATATCACATGCCATAATGAGTATATTCCTAAACATACTTCTAAAAAAAAACTTATCTGTGATAAAAGTGTTTGGGATTCATGTAAGCAAACTAAAATAACTATTTTTTCAAATTATTTTATTTTATCATCATAAATTAATACTAATACCTATAATATAAAAATGAATAATAATTATAAATATAAAATGAACTTTTTCTTTTATCTGTCCAATTCAATTATCCGTTACTCTTTCATGGTCCCGCGCGTTTGAGATGTTTAATTGAAATTTTAGTGTTTTACTGAATACAGTTATGGACAACGGGTATCTACTAACCATTGGAGTAAGTAAAGCAATGGTGAGAGTTTAAATGGGTATGTAAATAAAAAAGGTTGAGAAACGCTATATTATCTATACTAAAATTCAAAAAATCAAAATTTGAACAAGTGCAAGGGAGTTAGTGTGCACCTAACCTAACCAAGTATAATTTCATTTTAAACTCATTCTTTATGCATAAAAAAACAACATATAGGTACTTATCAGATTAGGTTTTAAGTTATTAGTGCATTGTATAAAATTATACATTTAATAAAAAAATATTTTTTAATAGCTAAATAAATATACCCATTTAAAAAAAACACACTCACATTTATTTCAAATATAATAACTGTTGATATTTTAATAACACGATCATTATACTCATTATAGTATATTTATAATTTAATTTAAGTTTAATTTAAGACCAGACGATATTTTCAATCCAAGAAATATATTTTGATACTTTAGTATACACTACAGGACCATCTCCAAAAGTTGTTCCAAATGATATTATTCCATATTGGGTATGTATGCTTGAACCATTGTGTTTATATTGAAGCGGACCGCCAGAATCTCCCTAAAAAATTCAATAAATGTATTATTTATATCGAACAAATATATGGCTTTAAAAGATAAATATCATACCGCAGAAACATCGGTAGTGCCTTCTAATGGACTCCCACAAATCATTCTGTCGTTTAATATGCCATATTTTAACTTGGCATTTCTAATGCCATAACTATCATTGCAAAAACTCCCAGGGACGATATTCAATTCTACTTTTAACAAATCATGACTCATTGAAATAGATTCTGAAAATTCGTACTTATTGAATTTTTAGACAGTTGACACACGTGTATGAGTATTTAAATATATATGTAAAAGCTAACCGAAAGAAGGTTTTCCCCAACTAGTTGCTACTTGTATTTGAGGGTCTAAAAACGGATCTGAATTAAGACAAATTGGCATTACGTACTCGGAGAACTCAACGTTTCTTTCCAACTGGAACAGAGCGATATCGTTGTAATTCGAAGGTGGTTTAAAACATGGATGTATAACATGCCGCACAATTCGATAGTCTTTTGGTCGAGCGTCGTCTGTTGTTAAGATTAAGTTTAAATCTCCTAATCGTGCCCAACGCGCCATTTTTCTTCAAGCAGACATGTATGTATAAAAATAGAAACAAAGTTAATATTTCTTCCTAATAAGTTTATACTTTAGAAAATATCAGACTTTTTTTTTTTTTTTTTTAGGAACAAATACTGATAAATAGTGATCACGGTAAAATGAAAAATATATATTAAGTATATATTATTATAACTAAACATTTAATAAGATAATAATTTAAAAATTTCTTGTACCAATATTCATTATGATTTATGATATTAGATAAAAATATCTAAATTATTCAAATTACAACATCAAATGAATAAAAAAAATCTAGGGTTAGGTTAGGTTAGGTTAGGAGGGTTCAACGAATAGAATATATAGGTACGAACAAGAAAACAGTATAATTAGGTATATGACAATAATTATTATTATCTAATGTCATCGATTTATAAATGTAGAATATTGATTTGCAATTGTAACTTGTAAGTTGTAATCAATTGTTTACCGGTGATTATTATAAAATTCTAACCCTCGTTTAGTTATAACGCATAGGCTAAGATGGATTTTACCAATTTTGACCTGGATTCGTGAACGATATGCCTATTACCTGGTTTCCGGTAAAAAAATCATAAATATGTATATATTTATAATTAATAAATGATTTAATTAAGCGTGATATTTTTATCTAAAATAATTTTAATTATAAGTTCTAGACATTTACAGAACATTCTGTCTCAATTTTTCACAATGAGCAGCTGTTAATATCCATCTTTCACTAATCAGTGAACCTCCGCAACCCCACAAGCCATCTTCCGGCTTCTCCCCAAAACCAATTATCGCCTAAAAGTTATAAATCTATTAGTTATATATTATAAAAAAATTGATAACTATTTAATTTAAATACTTACCATGTGTGGGTATTCCTTTGGTTCAGCCAATGGAATATTAATTGAAAAAACTTCCGTGTGTTGTGATATTTTAATAACTTTTTGGTACATTTCTATTGCAATATTCGTTACTGACGATTTTAAATCTGCTTCACAGTCCATCAAAAACGGCTAACAATAAAATCAATTATCAACAATACATTATTAATATATAGATTATAATTTAAATACACATTTGTTCAACTATTATAAATTCACTGTTAAATAACAATTTACCATCATAACACGGGGAAATACTTACGTTAGTGTATTTTTTTGTAAATCTAGACTCTGTTGTTGATTCTGTTAACTTTGTAGTCAAATTAGTATCTTCCATTTTAAACTTGTTCATTAACTTAGAATACTCCTGACACTCTATAGATAAATAATTTATCGTTAAAATATTTGCATATGGTGAAAATAAAAATAAAAATGTATCAATACAACTGCTAATACTTTCGTTAACAATGCTTGGTATTTTATTCATCGAGTTATTTAAAATATCTATTTTTTGAATATTTGGTGGACAGCAAAATATTGGATTTAATCCATCAAACGAACACAAATCAAGATGTATTCCATCTGCTATCATTATTTTCAAGGATTCGCAATTTTCAGAACGCTTACAAGAATGATCTGATTCCAATCCATTGCCTTTTTTGCATGTATCACCTAAGAAAAGTGCAGTAAAGTTATAAAAATATCCCATCATATTTTCTATTTATATTTTAAATTCTGAACGGAACAATAAGTATATCGGTTTTATAATGATGTGCGTGTTTTTTGGAATACTATAGGTAGGTACATGATAAGACATAATATTACCTACATGGTACCTACATGAAAATATTATATTTCAGTTTTCAACTTTATAAGCGATTATATTTAAAACCCATAAAATTGCTATTTCTAGTTATAACGCATTTTTTTAAATATTTTATTATAATTAAGAATGTATAACCATATCTACTATAAATTTTCGCCAATTAGGTAAATGATTTATTTTACTATAATTAATACTGAAGATTGAATATATTTTTGTCGAAAACATTGCATTAGAAATAAAATATAATAATATAGCCAATAGGTAATAGATACATAAAAGTCTCATAAATGTTTTTTTAACTATATTTAGTGATGTAAGCTGACAAACTGTTTTTGTTTAAAATGGTTTTTTGTATACAATGATATACCATTGACTTCAAATTTAATACACTCATTAAAGTGATTCATTCGACAACTAGTACTGTGCAGTAATTTTATTAATAGATTAATTCTCATTTAACCACCTTTTTTATTTTTTTGTTAACTGCACTATTTTTATATGGTTTATAATAAATTATATTAAAATCATTGCAGTATAAGTACAAAAATATGTATTCTGGGTACTCTTCTTCATTGATTGATAATATTTTCAAAAGTATATAATTTATTTAAGACATTTTTTATATAGTAGTATTATATTATAACTAGTAACAATATATAAATATATTAATATAATAATATACTTTCATATTATTATGTATTTAAAAAAAATATCTCGTACATACCTTCATTTAAGCCAAGCGTAACTGATTTTTCTGATGACTTTTTGGAGAAACATAAAATAAATAGTATAATATTTATATGTACAATAGTTTTCATTTTAAAAAAATTATAATAACATCCAATTTTTCTATTTAGATGAGAGCAACCTGAGTAATTTTGTGATACCAGACCTACTGTACTGTGTTTTGAACGAATCAAGCGAATGTAGTAGCCTTGGACCTTATACAGTATATTTAACCGCGACTGTCCCCACTATATGGCCCTAAAACAAGTTTTGTGTTGGTCGTCCATCAATATCGAAGTATAATTAAACAATATTGATTTCAATTAAATATTTAAATAAATATAGTATCTATATTAATAATATGAATTGATTAATTTAACTATGATTTTTTTGTAAAATTAAAATTATAGTATAAATTGTTTTCATTTTTAAATCTTATTGCCATTAAAAGTGTGACTGAAGAATTTTTACAATCGGGAAAAATAATTCACTAAACAAAGACCCTTTTCTAGATCAATATTGTGCAAATTAAATGTTATTAGCTTTATATGTCGCATGCAAGTATTTCTTTTAATTAATACTTAGCTCTCTCCGAAATCCTAATAGGAATCGCTGTACTAATATACAAAGGTGAAACACGATTGCAGATACTTTTTAACTTTTTACACATCAGGATTGTGAAAACCGCTACCTATATGATAACAGATATTATTTTGTATTCAAAAATCACATAATTGCAGACAAAATTTAATGAAATGTACTTAAAAATATTTTAGTTAAATTTAAAATTTGTATTTGTATTGTTAAAAAATAGAAACAAACATTCGATAAAATGATATAGTTTTATTTTTATTTTTAGGATTGTGTTAAATTATTTGATATTACTTGTATTATAGATTATAGATTAGTTAATTATAATCACGTAAACATATTATTATTTTACTCCAGCTTTGTTTTTCATACCGCAATTTTTTTATCGGTACCTATCTATTTAATATATTAAAAAAAGCCTACTTCAACCAAACATCGGTATTACCCGCTTCGTCACGAGACTAAACTTTTTTATTAGAGTTATTTTCATATTCTGTCTCCGACCTTGGGTATTCACTTACAAAGAATTTTAAAAGATATTATTTTTAATAAATTACGAAAAATACTACTCTTATTTAATATGAAAATCCGACTCGAATTCACATTTCTAAACATATCTATTACAGACTACAGTGATCTCTCTTGAAATCCAATAGTCGTGGTACTACATTTAAAACTTATTGTACAGTAGAGCAATAGGTCTTCAGATTTTTTGTTGGATATAATCAATTTCAACTTAAACAATAATACATGAAGGTAGGTTATTACCTTGCAATATGAATAATAAATAATAGGTAACATGAAAAATATTTTTTTGTATATACAAAACATTTTGTTTATACTACAATATAATATATTGTACAACAAGAGTAGGTACCTATTTGTCATAATGTATAAATTACCCAAATACAATAACAAAAATACTTAAAAACTATGACAAGATGGATGGATAAAAAAAAGGGGGAAAGAGAACCGATGGCGTTCGTGAACATAGAACTATTATGGCCACTGATTATTTATATTCTAGTTACCGCAATCGGTCCAGGGCAATCGAGCGGAGTGTCGGACATAGAGTCGCGGGCGCGCGAGGATAGGTTAGGTTGTCGGTGCGACTGCGACGGACTTCAAGAGTGACCCATGCGATGACATGCACTTGGATACTAGTGGCGCGGCAGACAATGACGGAGATTCCGGGGCGAAAACTGGGTAAACCACTGCACTGGTTTGAGTCCGATACGTCATTTTCGCCCCGGTGCCCCGCCGGTAGAATTCGAACTGCCAGCCGTCGATGCGCTTAAAAACGATACAGCCGAATGATAGACATGCTTGCGACGCCAAATGTGCTGCACGGTGTCACAGACATCCGTTCTTTCCTATATCTTATCATATAAATAAAATTTAAGATTATTCTTCAACTATACCTACGTCTATACTACATAGTACATACAGTTAGATATTAGTATGTGTTTTGATATAATCATCGTAGTGAATATTGTGAGCAAGTTTCATGTTATTTATGATTCAAATTAAATTTGAATGCCAAAAATACATACTATAAATTCCAAATTTCGATAGTAAAATAGTATATTGAAGAATTTTCTAGTAATTTTAACTTTAAAGATCGAATATAAAATAGTGTTTTAAACTTTCAAATACTTATTTTTGACATTTTGTGACCAGTACCAGTGTCATATTTTTATATTTTTTCCCATTTTTTTTTTTGCATATTTTTATTTAATCAAATACACATTACATACTCGAGTATTTTTTATTGACGGCTCTTGTTATCTAACATAGATACGTCTTATCCAAGCCTTCCAATCTATTACCCTTAGAATTATAACCGGAGCTCCATGGTTTATTACCAATGAATCACTTCATAAAGACTTTAAAATACCCATCGTCAACGAACTTACTAAAAACCAGTATAAACGTTTCCACATTAAATTATTAAGCCACTTAAATCCACTCATCAGCAACATGTTTTTCCTCACCTCTCCCTAATAATGTTAAACCGTTAAACGATGTCTAAAACAAAATTATTGGTCCAGAGATTTGCTTTATTAAAAAAACAATTTGAACTAATTAAAAAAAAAAAAAACATTCTGAGGTGTTATTAATGAACAATTCTCTTCACAAATTATTCATGCACTATATTATAATAAAAATTTTTGTTAACTATTACCATTGATTTTAGATGCTATTACTTATTGTTTTAAATAACAGATTGTAAATATATTAAAAAAAAAAAATATCATCCGACCGTGATATGAATTATAATTTATTAATATTGTCCATTATGCCGTGTCACCGTTATGTTCTCTATTGAGCAAAATATGGCATATATTTGTCATTCATATTCGGATGGTTATTAATTTCAACAATTAGACATTTTCCGGTAGTGCTTTTTTTACACGTTTAAACCTAACATTGATTAATGATTATTGATAAAACTTTTGATTCATACATGTCGGTCCTAGTCCCGACGATGTCAAGTTTTCCCCGTCGTAATAACTTTACTATACGTATTAATGTATTATACTACCTACTTTAGTAATTACATAATAATTAATAGCGTGTGCCGCGTTTAAACAATGAATATTATAATATTAAGTTATGAGTTATTACCACGGTCTTAAAAGATTTTCTAAGACTATGGTTATTACACAGATTATATGAAAACAGATTGTGCACTTCGTATGTTGCAATGTAAAAAATGAATAAGGTGCTTTGATTGGTCGGCTCCCAAATCAGTGTGACCACAAATAGCAATGCTAATTTATTGTATATACATACCATATTTTTGAAATTTGAATTAAACCAGTGAACTTTACAACTTACAAGTTATTCGAACTTTAGTACGTTAATTAACAGAAAAGTAAAATATTTTTTGCACAAAAATATATTTATTTAAATTTATCACAGTATACAACAATATATTGACAATTAAATAATGTTATAATATAGGTAAACTACAAACAACTTAAATTTTTTAATATAAACAATTAAAAATTAATACATATTATAAATTTAAAACATGATTATCCTTATAATTAATTTATAAATGATTTAAAATACATAACTTTCTATTTTTTTTTTGTTTCTCTGAAATTAAATTTCTATTTAAAAATTTAATAGCAGCATGAATCCTAAACCTTATAAAATAATTAATTAAATATTCTTTATTAAACAGTGGACACGGATGTCGAAATACAACATTAGTCATGCTTAGCTTTAACTTAATACCTACTTCATTCTCAATAGCTATTTGTGGAAACCTATTTATAAAAATGTTTTCTAACTCATCTATATAATTGTAAAATTCATGTTGTGGCATCATTAAATTTCCATACATAGACTTTTCTGAATTTTCATATGCTTTGAAATAACAAAGTAAGAAAGACTCATCCAATTTGTTTTGTGATTTTGCATAATGAATACAAACTTCGCAACTATGTTTTTCTATACATTTTTTCATTAAAAACCCACAAACATATGTAAAAGCATTTTTCTCGGGTATAGATAAATTTCTATAATCTGGGGTATCTATTGTAAGTGTATTTTTTTTAAATTTAAATGGATTTTTATCTTGAAATATTATTTTTTTGGTTTCGTCATTAAAAGTATCAGTCTTTATTTTAGATAAAATTTCATCAAAGTCTGCTATACAATTTGCATTCTCTGAATGAGTAAAATAATTAAGACAAAAATTTTGTTTAAATGACCAGATGAATTGTATGGGAGTTGGATTAATATTATTTCCATTATGTTGGGTGCGAAATGTGCCAAATAAATTTTCCAACCTATCTTGGTTAATTCGGTTTGTATACAAAACATAATTTTCATCAGTATTAATAACTTTTAGTGACTCCCACAAATGAAATAAACCAGAGATTGAAATTAACCAACCTCTAATAAATTTCATTTGGTTTGTCACTTCAACATTTGTTTTTTTGTTAAATACTTGTAGTGTTTTAAAAAAGTTTTCCATAAATTTTAAATGGGAAATTTGGGTATCAGTATTTTTAAAAGGTCTATTAAAAATTTTTAAGCCAGGTCGTTTAGATGAATTAAAGATATCAAAAAGTTTATCCATATTTCGAATGAAGTTAATTGTAGGTAATGAAGTATAAGATAAGTGACTTGATGCTAAGAAAACTAGCATTCCAGCTGCGACACTCTCACTAAACACCTGTGCTGCTAAATAAACACGCATTTTTTCAAAAGGTCCAGGAAATATATGAGAATATGTTATTTTAGGAGCAGTGCGAACATTATTTTTACTATCTTGATTATAAAATAAAATCAAATGTTTTTTTTTAATAAATTCATTATTGAACTTAAAATTATGTTGATAAAACATATTTCTGGTGGCTTTTAAAAGATGTGGTGGATCAAATATATACACTATTTTTTTATTGTTAATTTCAAAATATGGCCTTTCGGGACTAACTTGAAGTTTACTTGATAGGCCTATGAAATTGGAACCCATATCACTAACAAATGCTTTAACATTAATTTTAATATTTTCAAGTTTTAAAATACTGGTTAAAATTATGTCCTGCAAATCAAAACCTGTACAACTGTTCGAAACAAAGAAATAAGCAATTGGTTGC